AGAGGGGGAAGCGAGTTTGCGAGGAGTTGTAACTTGTGACATCCGTTGCTCTGATGAGTTTAATTGGTGTATGTACGACTGGGGTGTATAGAAGTAGAACTTCGGTCCGCTGTCTGATCCGTAGTTGCCGTGATCTCTAAGTTTGGTATTCCATATGTACTACTTAGCAAAAAGATTTCATTTGTTTTATCTGGAGTTGAGTATTGCCGCTGGGCAAGAATACTTTGAAAGGTTCCTTTTCGAGGGTCATGTTCTTAAATGTCTCTAATGATGCTTGATCCTTGATTCCCGCATATCCCTCGTCGAAAATCAATCTTGATGTATTCGATTTATCAGTCAACCCTGCAAGACGTAGATTGCAATGGAGAACCATCGTGGCAACGGGGATTATGGATTGCGAAAACAAAAGGAAGTTTTTGATATTGCTGTAGATTTTTATATGAGCGGCCTCTTGAACACGGCTCATAATGGGGCGATGAAGATATCCCCCAGCTGTCTATGGGTTCGCAGGTTCATTCTATGATTCGAATATCGTATGGGAGGATATGTTTTTAGGGTGCCTGATTGGGCAAAAAGAAATGCAAACCCAGGAATGAATCAACAGCATGTTCGCCGACCAAACCTCGTGGTTCAGGGGTTTGTTGAACTGGGGAAAGGAAGAAAGGATAATTCCGTTCTTCCGTAGCCTTTTAAGACACATTTTAATCCAAGGGACCAAGGGACCAAGGGACCAAAAACGACCAACGCAGACGAGCATAACTGGTTTCAAAAATTATGCTAAACGCTTTAACCTTTGAGTGTCTGTCGTGGGCTCTAGACCTAGGGTACAACAATCTTTTTGCAATACCGTTAACACCGATGACGACGGCGATGGCAACGCAATATATCTCTCTCATGGTCTGTAATGAGATTAAAGTATTCAGAAAATTTCATCATTATCCTGTTGCGCGTCTGATCATCTGTAATCTCCCCAAAGTTAAGCGTGGAGGCCAAAGCGATGTAATAAGAATGGTGGTGGGGTCCATTTAATGATTAATCCCATGTACATCCCTCCTTCTCCATAAATTGTACGAGATGCAAAACACAAGCCGAGGAAGTCATATAAATTATGAAGCTGGGAAAGGACACAGAGAAAGCCTCGAAAGCCTTCACACAAAGGAGTCTGAGCGGCCACGTGGAAGGTCGGGGGCCATTATTGGCAGTGGAAAAATGCAGGGAGAAAGGGGGGGGAGGAGTTGGGGGACTTTGTGTTGGGGGACATGCAGGTACAAGAGTCGTTCGTACTCAAAGTAACAGGTAGGTAGGTTATCATACGGTAATGCTACCTGCGCCTTTCCATATCGCCATTGTAAGTATATGCGAACATATCATCTGTACCTATGTATCTGCAAAGGTATGGTGGTATACAACCTATCAGAAGATCTTGATGACTATCATCGCGCGTAACTTTTGTTTATCACCGAAATTTCGGGAGTTGATATTAGTCGAAGGGAATGGGTAGGATCCGATGGATGGAAAAATTATGGCTAGAGCTGATTGGAGGCCGAGTCGTGAATATCAACACGAGCGGCACGGCTATACCAAGTCTGTCCTTGGTTTCTAGGTGAGTTGTTGTGAGATTGATTACTGTATTCAAACATGCTTCGTTCATGGCTGTCATCAAAATGTTTTGATTTGTTTAATGTTGACTGATACGGTCGGTCGGCCTCATTATTTTACCTTCAGTATCTGCAGGTCGCTCATTATGTTCGTACCTGCATTATGTTGTGTTCACAAGATTTTGATCTCCATTCCCCAATTCTGAGAAAGGAAAATGGAATAACATCTACCGAAAATACCGGACATACAGACCCATGAAGTCTCCATGGGTCTTTCATGCACATCAATCAATTTTCGCGATGAATTATGATGATTACTAGAGCACGATCTGGAAGATCATGATTAGCACAAGATCAACAGGGCCACTACGGTGAGCGCCCGGGATTGGGATTTACCTTCTAGGTTTTGATGGGCATGCTCGAGGGATGTTGCAACTTATCAGGCAAGCTATTCATGTTGATCTTTGCCTCGAACTGCTCACCTGCATGATATCACTGTATTATTTACTGTTACGATACTTTCATGGTATGCTGAAGATACCAGCGAAAGGAAGAAGAGGAGCCACAGCCAAGTCATGGAACCAGCAATCTCATCCTGCCGGCAACTCTGACCTACATTAGCGACGTCGCACAAAGTCCAAGAAATCCAGACACCCTAGTTTTCCTTCTGCCTTCCAAAGAGCGGTCCGTATCCTATGCATGTTCTGCTTCCTTCTCATCGTTCTCATTCTGATATCATCCTCTTCCTATTCTGCTGCCTACGATATAATTCATGCTTTCCAAGGTTGTGTTTCCAAATATACATTATCACTTCGCTGGGTGAATAAACGATTCATTCCTTTCTGCATAAAGTTGATGCAAGCAAGGTATACTAGATTCAAAAAATGACAGGTCAGAAATCCCATTAGATCCAGGTGGATAGAGCCTCAGAAACTTCCAGGTACACGCTTAGTCCACAAGCCACAGGCAGTTGATGATTCACATCTAGGGATTGCTTAAGGCGGCCTTCTTGACCGATGATCGTGATTCAGACCATATTTCGAAATTAAACAAGAATGCATTTGAGGCTTGAAGATTGCTTACTATCCTTGTTATCCCGAATAATGGAGATGAAAATAGTCTCACATGACGAGCCCATTGCTTGAACGCTGTGAAAATCCTTCGGGCTGATACATATTCCAATCAGTCACACCTTGTTTGTTCCTTCCCCAGACAAATTATAATTCTTCAGCACTTACCGATAGTTGTGATGGATGATCCCTATCACAATAAAGTGAGATCTTCAAATGATTGTCATCTGCGCGCCCAATATCAAAAACACGAAGCGGTATTCATATTCATGCTCCCCGTCTGGAGAAGTATTCTCACTGTCGGGATTCAAGTTGGATTCTGATTCTGGATTTCATAATTGTTAGAGGCCATCGATCTTGGCTAGAAAACACGGAGGCACTTCCGTTACCATTTTGATCCCTCTTCCGACTGAACAAATGGATACGGCAACCTGCATATTCTGTGCACCAGATACCTTCTCCAATTCAGTAATACAGCAGTACAAACCCGCGACCCAGTTCCGTAGCCCTGGAAATCTTCGCACCTGCTTCGATGTTATTGTTGCATAACGGCCTACCCTTTCCATTCCATTTTCCCACTTTTATTCGCAACTTCATTTCCTTTTGGCATAAGTGTATGTTGGACGGAAAAGTGTTGTGGAACCACGCTACCCGTTCGCCCTTGATAATTCCTCAAAAACTTTCCCTTCTTTGCATGGCGATACGAGTCCAAGTGGTACACACGTATAAATGGATGCCGATGGAATGGTAAATGGATACATGAGGCGTTTTCCAATGACCATTATTTTGGTGTTGAGGGATCTTCTCTATGGACATCCGGTCGTAATTTTCCTCTTACCGTGGGTGGGTACCGGTGTCTCATTATTGTTTCCGTGTCGCATGTTGTCGAAATATAACGAACGGTGTATCATTATGTGCGGAGCTTACCGTGGCTTGCCTGGAATTCACAAAAGCCTATCATCCCATCTATTTTCCAGGTCATGGATATAATGTTCGGTCAGCAGCACATGTTTTGTCGGAGATGAAATCTCAAGGGCACCTTAGGAGAGGTGTATTTCCTTACTATTGAATTCTCCTCGTAGGCACTGATTCAATATCCCATGCGTTTCATTGAAATGCCAAGCTGTGAGCCCCTGGATCATTCGCGTACGCGCGAGTTGCGAGTGTAGGGATGGACACACACCTTACGTTTGGAGGGCAAGGGAGAATTGATTTATCAGGATCAGTTGAAAGAATGAAAAATTTGGAGATAATTCAAAAGTCGGACTCAGGAAAAGATAGTGGTTGTTGGTGAGCTGTCTTGTCATGGTCTGTATTTTGTCAACGAATAATTGTATCAATGCTTAAATCACGTCGCGGGCAATCATCATTCGTCATGAACAAAATACATATTAAATTTCACCATCTATTTCATCTCTACAAACACCAGAACCTTCTCTTATCTATACTCTTTCCCACTGTTCCATGAGCATCAATATCGTAATCCACCGAAGCACTGAACAGTAACCTAACATTATTCCTTGATGTATTATACTCAAGCTCTCATCGATGGAACCATACCTCCTCATATACCTCTCTATGGATTCGTAATTATTGAAATACTCTTTCTTAGACGTAACGTACACACGAGCTATATCAGCACTCGAACTCTGGAGTCAGGATAGTGATATATGTGATACTCAGTTCTCAACATCACATTATTAGAAACACTCCAAATCCCGCACTGAAATATACATATGAATGACGAGTGAACTATCCTGCATGACGATAGATCTTTTACCTAACAAATTTCTTCTTCACTGAAATAATATATCATTTGCCCTCGTTGCTACTGACATTCGAATAAATCTTCCGGGGAATCGCAAGACGAGATCTGTAAATATTGAATTGGGTAGCTACTAATATTCCAGCATTCTCTCCGGAACAAATCTCAACTCCAGTCACGATAAACAGATAAAGTATCTGTGGCTTTGGAGCATAGAAGAAACGGTGTGAATGCTATTTAGGTGATTGATTTCAAAACCGTTGATCTATGTCCCCTATTCCCCCTTCTCGTTTTAACATGGACGTGCATGAATCGGATTAGTTTTGAGTTTAACTGTATATAGATTGTATTGAATAGGAGTGACTAATACATGGGACAAACACTTGTGATGTTAGAAAGTGATGTGATATAAGGATTGCTCAATGTCGTGCACTTTATACATGCAATGAACTTCCAATGTTCGTAATTGACCCAGTACATGAGAGCTCGATATCAGAACCAAAAGTTCTCTATTTACCTAGAGTAATGTTCTAGACACAGCCTACTCCACTCAGTTCTCTCCCCTCTCTAATACCCCTCTCTCCTACTCCAACCACTCCCCTCGACTAAATTCGGCTTTCGATATCCACTCCGAATAGTTGCATTAGGAACCAATTCAAACCCACCAATACTCGCTCCTTCACTATCCAAAGACCAGAGAGTTAATGCTACCGTGTTTGTTCCCTGGTGATTAAGGATTCCTTCAGGAACCGGGAAGCGTGTTTGCGGGCCTAGGTTATTTACTATAGGTGGGGGTTAGGATGATGACATGAAAGGCGGGGGAAAAAGATGCGGAAGCGAAAAGTGGGAGGAGAAGATAAATATGAAAGGACACAGGAGAATATCAGGAAGATGCATACCATATTTTCCAAATTGCCACCCATTAACAAAAAGCTGAGCTCTATAATTGCCAGCCATCCCCGTCCCCGTTCCATTAAAAACGAATCCAAGCGGCACATCCCACCCTTCTGGAATATTTAATTCAAACCTCGTAGTAAAAAATCCCACTCCAGCACTGTCTATTCCGTCGCTGACTGGATTTCTTACTTCCCACGCATCACTTGGCGGATTTGGTAGATGGTATCCTTGTCTCTCTGCGAACATCGCTCCTTCGTTTCGAGGCCCTCGTGTTTTATCGATGAACTGTTCTCCACCTAGGTTTCCAGTCAATTTCCAGGTAATTTCGGTTTGAGGATGTGAAGACAGAGAATAATCGAGGAATCCACGTGGAAATTTAATAGCGTCAGTTCCCGGGGCTTCCTCATCTTGACCCATGTGATCTATTAATACTGTAAAGACGCAAGGATTTCCAGACTTCAGGGAAGGAAGTGGGAATGTTTGAGCATATGTTTGATTCCCACCACTGCCGACCCAGGAGCCTAGAAATGTAGAATTGAGCCAGATGGAATGAGCAAACCCGGCGCCACCCGTTGTGTTGATAAAAAATGTGGTTTCATTGCCGGTGGAGAGAAAATGACCGCGGTAGATGAGGGAACCGGTGTGATAACCATAATCGCTGGCGTACATTGACGTGGGAGTTGTGAGATTCAAGGTGTTGTTTGTAATTGTGTGGTCTAATGGTGTCCAGAGAGAATCATCGTAGTGAGGTTGAAGTTCGGGGAGGGAATCGATATAGTGCCATTGTTGGGTTGAGAAATTGGGAAGACTAATGGATGGAGGGGAATATGATATGTGAGCTTGGAGATTTCCGTTCTTCGCCTTTCCGCTTTGAAGTAGTTTGCCATTTAGAAGAAGTGAATTTACTTCAGTAGGTGCGGAGATGATTTCAAAGCTAGTCGTCGCATTTATGTCCCCCGTAAGTTTAAGTTGTTTTCCTTCAATACTAGCTGTTCGTAAGAGGTAGCCACCATTGACGATAATCGATGATTTAGATGGAGATGTATGGTTGCCGATTGGTGCCGGTGCTTCCAGCTCCAGAGACCAATAATTGTATGCTTCATTTCGCCACAATAAATAAATCTTTAACTTTCCGATTTGCACAACTCGTCTCTCTTGATTTACAGTCCATTGAAGTACCCAAGCTCCACCAAGTTTTCGAATATCAACGCCGTGGCCTTCTACAACGTCAGGCACACCAAGAGAGACTGGAAAAGCAGCTTCGCTATTATCTTTATCTCCACCATAGAGAATCAAGACTCTTCCATTATTGTGATCCTTGGCCCATGAGAAAACCTCGGCTGACGAATAGATCATGTTTATTCCTCCTATATCATAATCTGTGACGTGTATCTTGGAGTCTCGACCATTCATGACCAACGATCCACCAAGCTGAGGTATTGTAATGTTGCCATGAGATGTAGTAACTGTAAACTTATACAATGTCCTTGTGAGGGACGTGAAATCTGCATGCCGGACCACGTAAAAATTGGTTCTAGTGCCATTTTTGATAGCGCCAAACAATGGGGTTACAGCAATTTCAGCCGGAACTCCAAAAGTACCATTTTCACCATGTCCAGCCGTAGCTGTCAAGTAAGCAGCGGATGCTTTCAAGAAGTTTGCTTCCAATTTCATTTCACTGTACTTTTCGCGCCAGACCTGACGATCTTCGGTAATTGATGCTCCGTAATCATAGGAGGTGTATCCTCCATGGTACCCAAGATTTCCCCAGTTGGTACCACCGTATATCTTTCAAAACTTGGTTAATCAAAGCGGAGAGCTCAATAAGACGCTATAGATCTTACCATATAGACATTGAATATTGCGACTCCAAAGCTGTAAGTATTCTTGAATTGCACCTTGATCGCATCATTGTTGGTGAGAATTGCGCATCGATCTTCTCCAACGCCACCCCTGAATTATATATTAGCGGACAGTACGTTGAATTGTTTTGCAGAGCCTACCATCCATCTCCACCTCCACCCTGGAATTCACCGATTGTAAAGGGTGTCGATGGACTGTAATTCGCATGGCTGATCTCCCAAGTCTTCGGAAATCTGTAAGTTGGCCAAATATATGGATCGCCACAATCATAACGCATAGGATAAGCATCAATTCCATAAAGATCTACCTCTCCGAGCCCACTTCCTGGTGCAAAATTCCCAATATTCAAATTGTCATTCACAACAAAAGGAACTACAACACCTGCATCCAAGAGCTGTTGTTCCACAAATGACATATAATCTTTATTCATTTGACTCGGAAAGTTAGTAACACCAGGCCATGACGCGAATTCATTCTCAGGTTGGACCATGATAACCGGGCCGCCATTTGTGATTTGTGCTTTAGCTAGAATTTTGCCAATCGTAGAAGCATAGTTTTGAGTGGAATCAAGATAATCCTGATCAGTGGATCTTATGACTCCTTTGATTCTCAGTACCCAGCCTGGTATTCCCCCAGCTGCTGTTTCTGCATTGATGTATGGACCAGGACGAGCAATCAAGTAAATTCCGGCTTGCATGGCAGCATCGAAAAACTCATCAACGCTGAATACTCCATCTGTTATTACTTGCCCAGGGTTGCCTTCAAGTAATCCCCAGTATGTATAGAACGATACACCAGTGAAGCCCATGGCTTTGATTTTTTGAAAAACATCGAGCCATAATCCTGGAGATGGAATACGAAACGGATGGACTTCACCGGAATATATCATAATACGTTCACCACGAACGAGAATTGAGTGTTCATCCCACGACACCTGTACGCATATTACGGATTAAAATTCTTACTTTGGAATTTGCAGTGCAAACTACTGACCAAATCTTGTAGAACTTCTCTTTTGTGCACCTTGATACGGGCATTCTGGATGCTTCCGATTCTTAAAGCAGATATACCTTGTATCCACCACACAGCAATAAGAAATAAATTGAAGTATATAAACATAATGAAATATTGGTGGTGTGTACTTCAAATAACCACGTAACAAATATACAAGCAATATACAAGCAATGAAACGTTCCCACAAAGTAGCACCATTGTATCCTTATACTTATCTTATTGAGTTCATATTACCTGTTCATTGAAGACGTAATTCCGCAGAATTCCCCAATACATAATGGGTGAATTCTCCCAACTTTGGAGGCAGAGTGTAGAGTGGGACGGACGGATGTATAGCCTGAATGCATACTCCGCACCGGCAATGGCATTCACGTATGATTTGCAGACTTTATGAAGTATAACGATGGAGATATGCTTGTGCTCCAATAATAAAGACAGGGATACCTTCAATGAATATAAGTGGTTCGGATGTGGTGATAGTTGTAGTTATTTTCGAAATGTGGTGTTGCAAAATGGCCCCAATCATGAAGTTGCGAATGAGGGAGTACAACCACCCAGTGTTTACCCGAATATATGCCGGTAGAAACAGGCATAATTTATATGCACCAATGAACTGATTTCTTGTGAGGCTTAGCCCACCACACGTGCCTAGTTATCTAGTTCCACTAGAACTCTGCTCCACTACAAAGGAAACATTGACACAGAAAATTGAGTCAACGGAGCGCTAATCAAAATAGTAATATAATGCATATTTTATTTCTTCGTCTCAACAAGATCATATAGTCTGGTGTTGTGGTTTAGTGGTATAATTCTTGCTTAGGGATATAACAGTCTTCATCGACTGATTCTCCATGTAAGAGGTCCCCGGTTCAATCCCGGGCAACGCCCATTGATTTTTTTTCTTTTTTCTTTTGTCATTTTTGTTCTTTTTCTTTTATAAAAGGGGAGGGAGAGAGACAGAAGTTTGTTCGTATGCAGATAGGCAGTGGACACAGGAAGAAGAGACGTTCAACAACTGACTACTACTAACTAATACAAGACCAACAGTCATGTTTTAAATAGATATATTCCAGAACTTGACGAAATTTACTCAAGAAGTCGCAACTATCTATTTTTACTCGGTTTTGACACATGTCAAGAAATTGTTTTTTTGCTTTTTCATATAGAACCAGTAATTTTAAAAGCAAGACAGACCTCCCGTTAAGTGACATGAACCCCCATAAATCCCTAAAACTTTTTGACAGAAACAAAATAACCCGCCATCATTCCCTGAATTGACTCATTAAATTCCAAGGGCACCAAACACACCCGGGTAGCTCTTGAAATCTCCTACCCACTTATAATTCGAAAAAGTGCCCAAAGCATCAGGGGCAGCAACCTCGATTGACTCCGTTGTCACCACCGCACCAGCCAGAGTACTAATATCAATCTCAATGCCGTCTTGTTGAGCCTTCCACTCTAGATTAGCAGTCAAATAATTAATAATAGTATCTTCATTGAGATCTGGCAGAACACCTTCGTCGTGCTTTTTGATGAGAGCGTCGGTGAGATGCACATTGCTTGAGGCGATAACATCATTGGGTGTCATGCTCTGTGTCCCAAGTGTAGCGTGCATACCAACGTATGCGGGATCTTTCGCCCACTCATCAGGTTTGGCAGAGCTCTTGCCGAGAAATACTCCGACACTATAAGTACCGTTGAGAGCTGTCCACGGTAAATCGATCTTCACTAGGTAGTCGCGTGGAAGTGAGGTTGTGGTGGCTACTTGTCGTTTCTTGAAGCTGGCTGGGGGACTGGTATAAAGTGCAGCAATGTTTCGTTGGAGAGTAGTGTTGTCGGGATGATTGATGATCTCAGGATAGGAATAGCCAAGCCTTTCGACATTGCGCACATCGGCGGAGGAGAAGAAGTTGCCACTCGTATCTCGATGGAAAGGAGTCAAAGCTTCGTTGTATTAGTATGCGAATGTTGTGATGGGATTATACAGGGGACTTACGAGAGTTTTGATCTTGAGTAGAGCCCATTTGAATGGTGAATGTGCCTGCTCTCTGCTGTGTTGGTTCGACATATGTATTGGGATATACAGCTTGCCACAGGGCAATTAATCTGTCGATATTTGCATGGTGAAACCAGAAGATTGGATCGAATGCAGCGACTGGAACAATGGACCTGTGTGAATTATTTCAGTCAGTATTACCACCGGAAATCGTTACCCCCACAGTGTTCTATATAGAGAAGAAATATCGTAAAATGGCTAAGAGAATGAGGTATTCTGAGGAACAAACTAACATGTGGCCAGAAAAGATAAAGCCTCCGGTCAACGTATGAACAGTATCATGAATCGATTCTATCGACTAATTAGTAACCAATGCCATACGGAATTCCGCCATAAACTGAACTTACCAATGTTGCCGAAGCCAGAGCTACCGGATCCCTTGTTGCTGAATCGGTTATATGGCTGCAGTGAATTATTAGCATTGATCAACTAGAGGTAAATGGCCTCGTGGCCTCAAAAAGTAGATTTTTGGGCGAACTTACTTGCCAATTTGCAAAGAGAGTCATGATTTGTGTTCTGAAATTTGGTAAGTTGGCCTCGAATTGCTCTTCCGCGAGGTTATTTTGACTTGTGGCGTCGGCATTGTTTGATGTTGGCCACCGAAGTGTGTTTTTCCATGTGTTGAATGGAGCAGAATTCTATTTGAATCAGTAAAGTACCATTATATGAGCGAGTTTTTACTTACTCGAAGATCGCTTGGTATCAAGGGATGAAAGCTGTAAGAGAACAATGGATTGGGCACTGTTGCAGTACTACCATTGGGATACGTAACAAAAGCGGTTGGGCTACTCAAGACACTAGGGAGAATGGGTCCATTGTTTGCAGGGTTGGCGGCCCAGTCCCAATATGGCATTCTGAGAGCCAGAGATGCCTGATGATATGCTTCTGAGTTGCTACCGGTGAATTCTTGCGCAATTTTGACACCCCAGGCATGTACTTGTTGCTCGTGTAACGCAAGGTAGGGTCTATGCCAAGGACCAAAAAGATTGGATCCATGAGTACAATACCCACTGGTTCCAGCTCCTACAGCTTGAACTCCGTCCCAGGGCTTCAAGGGGTAACCGTGAATACCTGAAAATCATTAGTCTGAAGGTCATTCATCACTAGAATAGTTTTATCGTAGCGTACCTGCAATTTGGTAGAAAGACGACAATTCACTCTGATCGGTACCTTGATATGCTATCATAGCTAACAAAAATAAGTTCCATTGAGTAGAGTCAGCGGCAAGTGATCGAATCTCAAGACGGGGCTGTAAACCACCATCTTGAACACCTGTGATAGCAAGTGTACCTGCTCGAGATTTCAAATCCTCGGGCTTAGATAGCGGGGAAGCTATGACAGAGCTGAGTAGTAATGATAAGGCCCCGAGCCTTCTGATGAGACTTGTTACCATGTTGAGCTTCAAAGAATGTGTATATTGTGTTACTAGAAATTGTAGTCTCCAACAATATGCTAGAGTCTAAGAACTGGCCTGGTAATGAAGATGAATGCAAAGAAGAGTAGAGTGAGAAGATTATCATGAGCTCAAGATACTCTTATATATTATGGAAGTACGGATCAATGAGCGAATTATTGTTGAAGCAAAACACGAGTGAATCGCCAATCATCTCCTGTTGTATACAGAAGATCCTCGCAACGATTTTACTGTACCTCAATAAACACATTTCGCCGTAGGCTCAGCCTCGTATAGAGGTAAGACCTATGTGTAATAGCCTCGACAAAAGACGAGGATCAACTAATGCCACCGAGGAGAGCAGGCTTGAACGTAACATCAAGGCAATGAACGCATGGAATAGCGGCTCCTTGGCCTAGAATCACTTCCATGCGCTGATTTTGGAACTTGCGGTATTTTTGAGCAAGCCCTATGTGAATGACATTTTCAACGTGCAGCTTTACAGCACTCGAGAAACTGTTCTTGCAATGATTGTCATCCACAATCCTGGCAACCATGTGGCTTCAACGCCGTAGCTTATACGATCACGACACCGAGGTTGCACTAAACGTTCAAATCTATTGATTGGCGCATGGTATACATCAGTGGAGTGACTGGCATAATCTTGGCACAGCTGATGTCAGGAACGCTGTCAAAATGTGGTAGACGAGCCGTCTCCTCATTGGTATCTTCGCAATTTCATCCCATTTCTAGCATCTTTTGAGCTGAATATGTATAGGCATTCGAACTTGTGCATACTCGAGCTGCAATTTGAAGGATTCTCCATGATCAAGAACAAGGAATACTGGAACATATCCGAAATGGAACGTTTCTCAATGTAATAGAAAGGCCCATGGAGTAAGAGTGCCGAGGTTTAGGGAAAACAAAACCACCTGTATAAACGTTTTTTTGACAAATCGGATGTCATGCATGCTTCCCATCTCTTGGTTTCTGTAGAAAAAGAAATTCAATCGGGTAAGACTACGCCCATATATTACCGGAACACAGGCCGAGAAGTCTGGGCATCAGGTATGTGAATCCTACATTAAACCTTTCGTATGAATCGAATACGACTTTTCTCTTCTCCAGATGACCATTTCTCATGTCATACCGCTCCGATATGTTGAGGCATACCATCATGATGCAACGAAAAGCATGAAATAGTTGTCATGAAAGATCTTTCCTATGCTCATTCTCGGATGTTATAAGACTGACTAGTCAAATGTCACACCCCAAACCAGTTCCTTGGCGTTGATCGGAGAAATTTTGAAATATTACTCCGATGTTGTTGAACCACCAACCTCTTCTTCCTTTATCCAATATTGACACCTCGAATGAACCATCAATTATCTGGACTTTCAAATGTCTAGATTTTCCTCTTTCTTTTCATCAAATACGCCTGGCACAAGGTTTGATTTACATACAGATCGTCGATCAAATCAAAACTTATGGAGTATCCTGGCTTGTTTCTTATTGTTGAGGACAAGGGGTTTTGTGGCATTTGACATATCCAGATCAAATCAGGACCGTATCTGACATTGATTAATCGATGTCAACGTATGGACCTTGAAATGCTTTATGGTACCTGAAATCTTGTGCTTGAATTAGTAGCCTTGGTGGAGAAATCTAAGATCGGTCGGCACTGAGTGACGGATTAAGGAACAGTTGATGTGATATCCAGAACAAGAGAGAGAAATATCCAGGAAAGATGTTTTGGGACTTGATTGAAGAACATCTATCAAACTATTCGTCTATTTCTTCCTCTATGTGCCACACCTTACGGATACGATACGCATCTAATCAATAGATCATAGAAGCATCCTGTCGTGTACCTATCTAGGATTCAGATATGCATGAAGCAGCAAACAAGCATGTCTCAATGTTGTGCACCACCACCAACGACACAACACACCACCTATGCATAATGACCTCGTTCGCAGTATATGCAAAGCAATCATGCTAAGTTATGGGTATTGGATTGGGGGCTGTTGTAATCATGGCCATGTTGACTGTCTTGAACAAGATGCTGTTTTTTTGTTCTCGTTTTATCAAACACCATTTTCAGGCAACAAAATCCCAAGTGCCAAGCTTGCGAAAGGTCTTCATTTACTAAGGAAAGAGCGATTGCAAGTCAGCAGCGAAATCTACACTTCTAAAGAATTTGTTGTTACAACACCCAAAAGGTCAAGCATGGGATACCACAATCTTTAGTTGAGTTTGTTGAGGTTGTTGATCTTTGAAAACGAACAATGCGATAATTCATAATGCCAGTGATTATGGTCTTCTCGGCGGTCTACGCTCAGATGACAAGATGATAAGTACGTCTCCATGATGGTTAAATGATACGCTTGAACAATCTGAAAAATAATGATAACATTTGTCAAACGTTATGTACAAAGTACTGCCTAAAACTCTTCAAAAATACAGTATCTAGAAAGAAAGGTCCTTGCCATAATCAAACCAGAATGATTTTTTCTGGTTTAAAAGCACCTGGTGGTTTTGGATGATAGCCAAGGGGGATCCCTTTAGCATTTCCCCTTTGGTTAGATTCGAACCTCATTCCACCATGCCTTCTTTTCCCGTGATGCGGCTCATTCCAATGTGTATGGCCCCAAATCCAAACGTCTCTCCAGTCCAAGAGAGGCATTGTAGTTTCAATCGAACTATGATCATAGCCATGTCCCTTGCAGCCATCAATAACATCACTACCATGGCTGGCTCCGCTATTGAAGTCACGAAGCTGCTTTGCTGTCTGTTCAGGAGGCGGAGTTCCGCTCTTAGAAGGTGGCATGTGCGTTATGATAAGTATGCGCGTTTCAACTTCCTTGGGATCGTCTCTAATTTTCTTTGTTTCCTGCCTGATCCATTCGCAAGATGCGAAATGCCTCTCAGTTCTTTGCTTGTTAGTTTGATCTCTAGGCTCACGACCTCCGCCTCTCAGTCTTTCAGTCCACAACGTACAGCCTAGTATCACAACCTTGCCTTCCTTCCCTTGAATGACATAGCGGTCGTTCTCCAAGAACACCAGTTTTCCTAATGTATCTGGATGCCTTGCAAAGCCTCTAAGCATCTTTATTGTCCCTTCCACTGTACAACTATTCGCTGGCCAGAAGTCTCTATTTCCAGCTACGAGAAAAACTCGTCGGAGTTCTGGTTTGGCGCACATTCTAGCTAAAAATTTCCGATAATCAGTCTCACTTTGTGCATTAGTATTCCCTATGTCGCCGGCGAGGATCAAATATGGAGCACGAGGTTTAAAGTCAAAATTTTCATAGCTCGTCTGTTCAAGATGTAAATCTGAAACGTAGTGAAATGGAATATTTTGCTTGATTGTGGGAGGAAGAACGACGAGATTATTTGGCGGACCGAAAACCATCTGTACTTCAGCAATGGTAGTAGCATCAGTGTACGGATCGATACGACGACGTATTAAACCTCCTATTTTATCTTGCATCCTTCCGGAAAGCCCTCCACCCGATGTAGCCGGGGTACCTGGAGCAGGTACCGCTGGCTTAGATGTTTGAGGAGGCCTAGGGGCGGTTGTGAACGGATTAATGGCGACCGGTGCAGTTGTAGCCGGGATCGCTGGAGCAGATACCGCTGGCTTGGATGTTTGAGGAGGCCTAGGGGCGGTTGCGAGCGGATTAATGGCGACCGGTGCAGTTGTAGTTTTGGGATCTACTTGACTCGATAAACCCGTGATCAGCCCAGTTGCCATATTTTTGATATAATCTTCAACTTCTTGCTCATCCTGAACTGGAAATCCTGTCGTAGTAGTCCCAGATGTGGGCCCGACTGGTGGGGGTTTCGATCCTGGTTTGGATGTCGTAGTAATCCCAGGTGTGAGCCCGACTGGTGGGGGTTTCGACCCTGGTTTGGATGTCGTAGTAATCCCAGGTGTGAGCCCGACTGGTGGCGGTTTGGCTTGGGCTTTGAGCGCCGCAAACCAAGTTTCGAAATTCGAAGGCCCAGTGGTTGAAGTCGATGTTGTAGTTTTGGGCGGAACAGGCGAGCTTGTACTAGATGTAGACGGGTTTACTCCTTGGGCGTGTTCCTGGGCGCGTTTCATTGCTACGAGGGCCCTTTGAATTATAGCCTTTTGTCCTTCCCTGGTAGTCCTTTCCATTCTGGCTCTAGAAAATTCTTCTTCAGAAGGTTTTTGATAAGGCAAAGATTTTTCGCCATAATATTCCCTCCTCATGTTTTGGAAAAACCAGTAAGGATGACCAGTAGCTCCAGATAGACAGTCTTTATAACCTGGATGCGTCATGAAATCTCTGTGGAACTTATCAAAGAATATAGGCAGACGTAATACTTCCAATGAGTTCAGAAGCTCATCAGCACTGATACCGACATCGCTTTGCCTTTCACGGGCAAGTGCCTTTGCCCATTCAATATTCCCCTTCTTCCATGGTATCCAGAAGTCTATACTGGGCGATATCCAGGGCTGAGATAATCCACCGGAGTCTGGTTTCGTCGACCCCGAGGAAGTTATGCCTGGAGTTACGGGCGGTGCAGATTGTGGAGGTGGTGCAGGTGCTATCCCTCCTCCTCCTCCTCCTCCTCCAGCACCTGGACCTGGGGCTCCTGAGGGCCCTGGTGGTGCAGATGGTCCAGGTGGTGCGGATGGTCCAGGTGGTGCGGATGGTCCAGGTGGTGCGGATGGTCCTGGTGGTGCAGATGGTCCAGGTGGTGCAGATGGTCCAGGTGGTGCGGATGGTGCAGGTGTTATCCCTCCTCCTCCTCCTCCAGCACCCGGGCCTGGAGGACCTGGAGGACCCGACGGACCTCCAGATGGACCTCCTGGTGGCGGGTGCTGAGGCGGCTTACTTTTATCTGACCATAACGAAAGAGGTGTGGGTCTCAATCTCGAAAGAGGCTCCAATTGCCTCCTCCCAATCTCTCCCTCACCAGTAAAAGCTTTTCCCTTTCCCCTATATCTTTGTGCAGTTTGACGATCACGATTGTAATCTAGCACAAATCCCTCATTGGTTTCATGTCTTTTAACTCTTTTGGGTCTACTTTGATTGATTATCTCTTGTTCTGCTTCTGGCAATTCATCTATCCTAACAGCGGGAGTGGGTTCCCAAGGTCGCGTTTTGCGCTTGTCAGGATTGACTGTTTTGGGAAACATGGTGATGATATTGATGATGACGGTGGAGATGAAAAGTAGTATTGCACTAGTTCCGATGGCAACGGCGAGATTTCGGATTCCTCGTAAAATGTCGAGTTCAATTGGCATTTATATGACATTGATGGGTTGAGTCGACATAGTTTGGTGATGGATTTTAGACAAGGGATAACATCTTATTATCTGGAGCTCTTTATGAAATATTCTCTTGTTGATTTTGACGAGTGTTGCCGGAACAGGTATAGGTGTTCTTTATTGAATGTAATTCGAAAGAATTATTATGGATTGGGATGAGATGGTTGCTATGTTCTTTGTCTGAGTAGACAAGCAGTTGACACGAAAGAAAATATCGAGTGTCTCTTTTCATATGCCAAGAAAAGGTTGCGTCTGCTAGTACACTGGGAGTCAATTGATGGCTTGAAGGATGCATTTCTAGACTTAATGGCATAGAAAAGTGACAATTTGCAAGTATCATTCGTAATATTTACGCCAGGTACACTTCCCCGATACTCGTCTTGAGACAACTCTTCATCTACAACTAATTGTGTTCACCAATCAGTCATGATTTTTGCAAGATATGTCGCACTTTGTGCTCCCCTTTCTATCAAAAAGCTCAGAGGCAGAAGTGTCTTCTATCGAAAACACTCCTAGATAATGATCACTCAAACATCCAATGCGAAAACCCGAGATATATTTGAGCAATATAAGAATCTCAATATCAACAAAAGGTCTAAATCGACAACACGATATCATATTCCCACATCAGTAACAAAAACCAAAGAATCCATCACCACAACAAGAAATCTCTACCCATCAATCTAGCATACAAAATTGTACCTACATACCCCTTACAGTTCTCCAGCGTACATTCCCTCTTTCCGTGACCATCTACACAGTCCAAAAAATACACCACACTAAGCTCACCTCATAACAAAGAAATATAGCTTGTCATACTGCCAATTAATCGTCTCGCTAACACGTCCATCAACTCCTTGTATGATTCTGAAGCGAAAACCCCCTCTTATTTCCCTTGACTTTCTTACTTTAACTAAGTATAAAAGCCACGGAGTTTTTAAGGGGAATATGCAAAAGTACAACGAAAAGAAACAATTTTTCCAGAACAAGGAGGTATATAAGTGTCTCAGTGGTAGTAGGTATGAGATAGAGAACTCCCATATTCGTTTTAAAACAGAGGATACCATTCGAGGAATACTTTCATGGTGTTGTGAAGTTTGTTGTAGACAGAGATATGTATGTAGTGCGAAATTGGTGGTGTATCTGTTTTGATGGTGAAATATTACTACTGTCGGGATTTGTTTGTAGCAATATAATATCAATGATATCTAAAGAGAAAGGAGATTTAAGTAATGAAGATAGTATATATCTCAAAGTGCAGCAAACGACAACAAGAAATCCCTTTTCTCACACCCCGACAGTGTTATCGTTGACGAAGTTTACAAAGACATTTTTCTCCCCATGATTGAAAACATTACAGCAGGAAATTTGTTATTCTCATCCACGCCTATTCCATTCAACTTCTCCCCACAGTCACACCACCCTTTTCATCCGATAGAACTGGCGAATATTCATAGTTACCGGTATGTAATTAAGACTTCTCTACCTGCTGATAAGTAACAATCAGTAAATGCATTTAGAAGGCAATCTGGTCGGTAATCACAGCATAACGTAACCTATCGTAAGTAGCCGCTAGAACCACCGTACCAATTGTACTAACCATCCACCCACTCATACAGTCATATTTCCAGCATGATCTCATATGGTAATCATTCCATCTCAATCTCAATCTCAATCTCAATTCCCATCTGTAACGATACTATCCCACGAATCCAAGTCGCCACAAACAACAAAACCAAATCGCAAGAGAAATTTCTCGACTTCAAATCACTCAGACTATTGAATATCTCAAAGTCCGAGTGGACAAATAGGCCGCGTCAGCGTCTAATTTACAATATCAACTTACCATTAACATCGATACTGACTGAAATTTGCTACACGCAAGAAAAATAAAATAGAAGAATGAATTTTGACATTTGCTTGCGAACAATTTCGGGGAGGTACGAAGATCCAGACCTTATGAGAGATACAGTGGATCACGTTTGTCGCTGAACTTGCGTCAGCATTCTCGGTACATGAATTTAGCGCAGAAAGGGGGATTCGGCACTGATACATACATACATACATACATACATACATACAAAAATCAATACATAAATAAGTATTTCCCTCCTAGCACACCTAGGTAGAATCGTCCTTCCATTTCCATTATTTCGAGTCCAAAATTAGCCTTTCAAAAAAAAAAAAAAGAAAAAGGTCAAGAAAACTAAACAGGAAAAACAAAATGCGTTTCTCAACTCTGAGTATAGCGATAATCAGTGTAACTCTCACAAGCGCTCAAACACCAGCTGAGAGCTAGCCTATCACATCTCGGAATATCGGGTGCGCTTTCAGAAATATATCGATTGCGCCTGGAAAATGAATAGGTTCTTCTGGTATGCTCTCTTAATTCCTTATTAACTCATTCCATCCCATCCTCCTCTCAAACAAAACAAAACAACCCCCCTCCACCTTCCACCCCCCTCTCACAAACCCCACAGACGTAACCACCCAACCCTCCATCTACCATACTGCACTACTCCCCTTCCCCTCCCAAACATCAAAACCCTCCCCCACACCAAAAAACCCTACATGCGCCTCACACTCAACCTCTCAATCCCCTCCTCCTCCGACATAACCACCCCTCGCACTACTCCACCCTCCCCCCGGTCTCGCCCCCAACACCACCACACGCCTACACTGGTGGCAAGGAAACTACACCATTGCACCCCCCTCTCCCTCTCCCTCTCCCTCTCCCTCCCCATCTTCCCAACCCCCCCTTTTCCCAACACCCCCTCAACACCCCCACCAGTATCGCCGCCTACACGCAACGCCACAAACCACACCTACACAATACAATCATTCCCACAGCCGGAGCATTCATTTTCCGAGGGAGGAAGCGGTAACCCTAACCCTAATGTGACGTAGGTATTATGAGGAGATAACAAAAACAAGATTGAATTTTTCGCTAAAGGGGGTGGTGGAGAAGGTGGGGGAGCTGGTGGCGACGAATTGGTTTGTGAGTACTCGGTGTTGTTTTAAATAAATGCCGACCTTAATTGTAGTCAAATTCCTTATTCAAAATTATACTTATTTAATATTTTCAAAATTCAATATTTAAAAACACAATATAATTAGATCTTTCGAATTTGAATCATATATATAATATTAATAAATAAATCATATATTAAAATCTCAAAGTTTTAAGAATTAAATTAAAAGATCTTTTATATATTAAAAATCCCTTTTAAATAATGATTTTTGTAGAATTAATTTTAAATATTTAAAGTTTAAAACAATTGAGTTTTTATTTTTATACTTTCGATATTTTGATTTTCTATATAATTCAATAATTATATCGATATATTATAATTTAAAAGAATATTTATAAAATTCAATTAAATCTTTATATATTTATAGAATTTTATATTTTAAATTTTAGTGATTGAATTATAATTGAATTTTGAAATAGATAATTTTCATTGAATTTTGGTGTGATATATACTAGCTAAATTGTGGTCGGTATTTATTTAAAACAACATCGAGTAGTGTGTGAGGGTGGTGATGGGGGAGCGGGATGTGGGGTGTGGGGGAAACGATGTCTACCTAGGTAGGTGAAAGTACCTAGGTATTTGATTCCAAGATTACAATTTTCTATTTAATGCATGGCTTCTGTTGTAAAAAAAAGACGAGATGGGTGAATATCATCTTTGAAGATACTTACTTGCTATGACATTTCGACACGAGCCAGCTTCTCTCTCGATCGCAGAGAGCGAACTCTCTGAACACTGCTTAGTCTGTAGGTTTGTCACTTTTTAAAGAGAGATGTTTGTACCAAAAATCGTATTATGATTCATCCTCAGATAACTATAGTGCTGCCCATCAATTTCGTAATTTCGTAAGCCCAAAATCCCATAACGCAATAAGAAACTAATAATACACTCATACACCAACAAACTAATACCCTCGTTCGTGCATACTGTCCTTTCCCGATCTTTTTCAATCGCACACACTTCTCTTCATTCATTGATTGCCCTTCTTAGCATCCTCTGCGTCATTCTTTGGCACGCTAACAACAACGGGTACAACCACACTATTAAGGTTTCGAAGTGCCTACAAATCATCACCATTAGCAACATACACTTTACACCCACCCGACCATTGACCACAAGAAAAAGATAAGCTCACCTTGACGAAAAAGCCCTCACTAGGCACATTCCCATTCCACGCATCCTGAACCTTTGTAATCTTTCCCTCTCCACCCTGTTGCTCTGTCCAGATACTCACCTTACTCTCAACAGTCTGTTCCATACCCCCCTTCAAAACATATTTTGTCTTCAAATCCATCTCGATTGGATTTCCAGCACTCGTGACCTCATGTCCGAGACGTTCTATTTTGTTACAAACAGTTTTTAATCCAAACCATTGAGCAGAATATTGTTTGCGTCCCTCGGCATTGGTGATTTGATCAGCGAAGACGGCGTTGTCAGACCAGAGAGATAGTTTTTCGAGGGAGGGAAGACCTGCAAAGAGCTTGAGGGACGTTAGTTTCTTGGTTTTCCTAAAATGAAGGGAAATAAAGGAAGGGAAAGGAGGGAAGTGAGAAGCAAAGTCTAAAGTCCAAGAAGTAAAATAGGGAGGGAAAAAAGAAACTCATACATCCAAAACACTTCCCACAACCACCTTCTGTTTCTGATTCAATTCCACCCCGGGAGCCGTATGAACATTCGTATTTTCAATTCCCAACTCACTGAATCCCTCTGTGCCAACACTTCCAGAACTCGCATGTGCAGAGCCCGAAGTCGTGCTATACAATCTACTTCCCTTTCCCAACTCGTTTGAGCCTCTGCGGGCATCGTCGGCAACGGGAATTCCTGATGACATATTGGAGTTTGTATGTGTATTATGAGAGATTACTCTTGCTGTTGCTCCTGCTGTCGATGTATTGAAAGAAGATGTAGCAAAGTACGAAACAGGTGTAGTAACTTTACTTCCAGCAGTAATCTTTCTCGCAGAAGTAGATGTAGATGGTATCTTTTGTAGAGATCTGGCGAGTGAGGAACGCATGAAGTAGTTGAGCGTGATGGTGAGTTGAGTAGAGACGCTGATGAAGGGATGGAGAGAAACTATGAGATTGAGAAAGAATTATGGAATGTTTATACCTGCCTTTTCTATTTTATATGTATAAATCACGTACTACTCAGTACCTACCTGGTATTTACAGCTCCAAATTATGATGTAAGGCAAGGAATTTATTCTGAGGGGCAATTGCCTATCTAGGTACCTATCTATCGTAGATGCTCGTAAATCCATACGAGTCTTGACATCATTGATGTTTAAATCCGGAAGGGGTATGGTGAACGTTTTACCCCACATGATCTTCCCAAAGCTCCCAAAGCTCCCATCATCAATCATTATTATTGGTGCACCAGGTGTCTGATTAGACATCAACCTCCGATATCAGATTACGGAGCTTTTCCAGATATTACCTAGTAATAATAATAAGTACTTGGGTATCACAATGTCTCGCGGGTGACAGGAAAAATGGCACACACAAATTCGTAATTCTCATTCAATGGAACAACACCTCTCTTTCAATTGATTCAACACCACCACTTTTTATATTTATAATAAGAATAATATGGTAGTTTTATTAATTCGATATCAGAGATTAATTCTATATAAGTTTTATGATTCTAAGTGCAATATTCGTAGAATAATTCATTACGGAAGATCGACTCGCTTCCATTGACAGAGACTTTTAAATTCGCTATATTCAGAGCTTTAAGATTCAGTATAAGATAAAAAAATTAATATCGATGCTATATAGGGTACTGTTTTGAGTGATATAATTATATAATTGATATAAGGTAGTGTTGTGGTTCAATTCCCTCTGAAAGTGAGTTGTTTCGAGGGGGAAACCACTCTAAAAACCACCCTTTTGACCACCTTTTCACCACCCAGTGAGCTGTCCTTTCATTTTAATAACATCCCTAAGCCTCTGAGGCATAGTATCTACTAGTTTATTGATATGTTCAATAGTAACTTGCTCCCAACCCTCATTTATAAGCTCCCGCATGGTTGTATCGTCCCAATGGGCATGCCTCCGAACGACTTGTTTTGGGATTTGCCAGATATTTTCGATGATTGAGAGATCAGGACTATCATGACAGTTTTGATAGGTTTCTAAACTATGATCTCTCTTCCATTTCTTCACTATATTGTCCTTCTTGCCCCCATAGCCGTGTCCTGAATCACCATCTTCCTCGAGTACGAAATCCTTCGATACAGCTAACCATCGCTTTACCTCCCCATCCAATATAGTATCGACATAAACCTTATGGGACAACTTGCCATTCCGGTTCCCAGGAACATCGTAATATATAAGATTGCTCTTAAAGTTGTAGCCCACTGCCGCCCAGCAGTGTTGCTTATTGCGGTGTTCCTCCTTTTCTACCCCTCTGAGCTGAATACACTCAGGACAGAGCCTCTGGCCTAGCTTTCTAATGATCCTATACTTTCCCTCAGGCCCGAAACCCCAATGACACTCATCAGAGAACCTAACTCTTCTCCAATCCTCCGGATTAGGGTATTTAGCTAGCATATCGCGGGCAAATTGGAGTCTAGCGGCAGCTGTTCTCTGTGTAACCCATCCCTTGCAACAAGCTATACATTTTCGATATCCCATAGATCCCATAGCTCGTGCAATAGTCCTTCCGGATTGGTCTAATCCACATGCCTCTCCCAATTGCTTCCAATTGAGGGATCTAGCCTCAAAACCCTCCGTTTGGATCATGATCTCCATAGCACGTATATCGCGAGGAGTAAGGGTTTTTTTTGCTCCTCTAGTCTCTTTACGTACTGTAGAATCATGTAGACGCCTTGGATCGCGATCATGCCAATGTCGATATCCGGTGCGAGGTGCGACATTGTAGGCCCTGAATACTCGAGCTTTGAAAGTAGTGACAATTCCATCAGCTATTCCATCAAGCATAGCCTGGGTTTTAGCTTTAACAGGGGTTCTATTATGCTGTTGGGGATACGTTTTATCCTCATAGCGATCGCGGCGAGTTGATACCATTATGTTGTGATTTAATAATTAATTTTGAAGTTGTGGTAATTGACGTGAATTGAGGTTAAAAGGACACGTGTGCCATTTTTCGTGTCACTCGCGAGAATGTCTAGACAGCAGAAAGGAAAATGGAAGATCGAAGATAGAACGTGAAAATGGAAATGTATAAAAGATAACAAAACAAACAACTTTCTACTTTGTAAAATCAATTGTAATAATGCTATGCTTGCTATCATCTCTGTCAATCATGGGTATTTTCCCCATGTATCATCAATAACGTCTCAACTCCATTTTTGGTATTCGTATGCTTTGCATATTCGTGATTCATAAATATCCTTCCACTCGCAATTGTCCTCCCTTGGCCACCTTAAAGACCTATCCTTTAATGCTTCCCTCAAGCTTGCACAAGGAAGCTACCTTACTTGCAAGATCATCAGCTTCACTTCTCGTGGCAGCTTCGGCATATACTCTCAAAGCATCTTCCGTGCCACTTGCTCTTGCGAAACTTCTACCATCCTTGAATTTAGCGACAAGTGCATCGATTTGTTGTTGTGTGCCTTGTGGCTCCACGAGTTTTCTCTCAGCGTCGGTTGTCTTGAACACGTTTCTATCGGCAACTTCAACTCGGACAAGACGATTGGGTAGGTCAATATAGGTAGAGTCCCATTCCTTTGGTGTCCAAGACTTGTGGGCCAGGATTGTCTCAACCAGTAACATATCAGAGAGCGCATCTCCAACCGTCTGATTGATCAAATCGGTGAGAGCACGGAGAGTTTCCAAGGCGTTGGCCTGAGCAGGAGATTCTGGGGTTGTGCTAGCAAATACTTTCAAAGCTTGTTGGGAGAAGACTACTGTGCCGTGGCCATTTGCTTCAAAGTAAACACCAACATCAAATTTTGTAGCAGCATGATGTAACCATTTGACACCAGTAGGAGTACAAACGACAGGAAGCTTCAAGGTCTTCTCAACATACTTTGTACTAGCACCATTGGCGTAAGCAGTTTGTACAACACCGATTCTCAATTCATCCGCCAATCCAGCTTCTCTAGCAAGATCACCAATGAATGAAGCTGCGAGCGTAGCAATTCTATCACCATCCAATAGACGGAAACCATGGTCAGAATCATTGAAATAGTAAATGATTCTGTCAGCATCTCCATCTAATGAGCAGCATCGATCATTGTTTCCAGCTTTCGATGAAGGGGGAGCTCGTTGTTTGGTCTTGACATAATCGGCACCGCACTATGAAATATAAGCATTGGTCATTGAAATCAACAATACAAAAATTACTAACCTCGTGGTTTAAGCTCTCTGCTTTCAAAACGTCATCGTTGAGTACTTTGATGTCGAGAATTCCCTTTGGTAGATACTTGATCAACTCTGCCAATTTAGGACCTCCAACACCGTTGGCACAATCGACGGTGACTGAACCAGTAGCCTTCTTTCCCTTCATAGCTCTCTCGAAAGCCTTTGCCAACTTCTCATAGTATCCAACCTCACTGACATCTCCATAAGCTTGTGGTGTACCCTCAGTGTTCGTGCATCTAGTCAAATAATGCAATTGCGGTGTGGTAAGCAACTTGTAATCCGTATAATCCGTTCCAGTCGCCTCGAGAGCAGCGATAAGAGCCGCCACCAATTTTGGTCCCGAAGGTCTCGTATCTCTGGCATAAATGACTCTCGCAGGAGTTTCTGGGTTGATTTTCAAATCCTTCTCCAACTTGCGATAAACGTTCACCACATCCTCATTCTTCGCATTGGCCAACAGTGTACTGTATGCCTCCCAACTATTCTCCAACATTTCTCCCATCGGATCGACTAACTTTACACCGTTATCCTCAGGTGGGTTGTGCGACGCCGTAATCATAACTCCGATGGTTTGACCACCCAATTTGCGCGATCGAAGAGCGGCGACGAGACCAACGCGAAAGACGACGGAATCGAGAAGATTAGCCTTCATACGAAAGCCCGCGGTTCCATATTGGAAAACCCGATCGGCAGGTTTGGGGTGCTTGTTTGAAGCTTCGAGAATTTTGGAATCCATATTGTCTGACTTGATGAGCGAAAATAAAGACCTGTAATAGAGAGAAAGACTGGGGGAGAGAGGAAGATTATAAGAGGATTGTAAGACCCCAATATAATTATCCAGTTTAAGGTGCTCCAGAATGCGTGTTTTTATTCCTGATCTTCTTTTCTTATTACTTTATAAGTATTCAACGTACCTTTGTTGAGATTTGTCTATGCGTTTCTATGCGTTGGACATAAAATTTGAGGGGCTGATATTATTAGGTAGGCAGGTTCGTAGTGGTAAGTATTTAATTTATGTTCTATTTAAAGATTGACCGATTTTGTTAGGAGCTGCATAATTTGCGCATAAAATGGCGCAAAGGGCCAGGTGGTGGTGACCTTCAGCTACTATGAAGATTATGCTGTGGTGCGTATTAATAAGCAAGTTCCCACATTATTCGAGCGACTACGATATTCCAACTCTAATAATAAACCTCACAAGAAGACTTGACTGAATTTCTAGCAGGTAATGTATGTATTTTGCTATTTGAAACCTCACTCATTATTTAGTATCAGAGTTGAATTTGTTTGATCTGTTGTAATTATTTCTTTTGTTTTTCTTGAAGCTATTTCAATTCCATATGTAAAATGTCCGGAAAACATCTGTCTCGCTATTCCAGATTATGCACCATCGCTGAGTTGCGAAATGTCCTGTGAAACTCCTGTACTAAATGCAGTGACCTCCCAGATACTCCATCCATGCATGAATATGTGCAAAAGATACCCCTTTTATGATTGCCCATCTCACAAGAATTATCGCCTCCACCCCACTTCCCCGAATGAGGTTGAAAGCCTGTGTTACAGTGAACACTTAACCATACAACTCATCCTCATCAATATCGCCCATACCCACTGCGTCATCTTCGTCGTAGTCATCTTCATCATAACCATTACCATTACCATTCACTTCACCTCTCCAATCGTCACCAGCCGGCTCATTTGTCTCATCATCAACCTCTTCGACGATTTCCTCCTCACCATCAACTATGCTACCTGCAACTGAGCCAGGAGCCGTGGATGCATCTCTACTGGTGACTTTACTTCCCGTAGCGACACTACCAGGTCCAGACCTAGTGCCAACAGTCTTGAAAATATCTCTGATAGCTTCATAATTGATCTTCTTACTCCAACTTCTTTCCTTCATTGCGTTGACAGCTGCTTCTGCTGGTGTACTAGCTACACTAGTTTGTCCTTCTCCAATTCTTGGCTTCTTCTTTCTCGGTCTAGTAACCTTTGGTGGACCCATAGCAGCCTTTCTCTTTTCGAAATCTTTTTGTTGTTGTTTGCGGAGCCAATCTTTATTTGCATTGAGCCAAATTTGTTCTTTCTTGGCAACTTCAGCATCAGGTAATACGCAATTCATGACTTCTTCGTCATCAGCAAATTCATCCTCTCCGATATGAGTATCCATGCTAACATATTTTTGAGGGTGGTTTGCTTCCGCGTAGAGAAGATGAATATGCGCTTTCTTTTGGGCTATAGCAAAACTGATTGCATGCTCCTGAGTATGAGGATCGGAGACCATTTCTGTGATCTGTTGCTCGAGTTCGTCTTCTACAGCGAGCCATTCGTCTGGCATTTGGATAGGAGGTTCATCATTCCGTGGACGACCGGGGCCTCTAGCGGGTGCACCGGCGTGTTCTTCGAGTTCTTTGGCAGCTTCTGCATCGGCAGGGTCAACGTCACCAAACTCAGCAACAAGTTTGTTGAAAGATGTGCCGGATTCATCTTCAATGGCGTCGTCCAAAAGTCGTGGATCGATATTTTCCTCTCGGGAGGTAGGAATTGCAGGAATAGCAAAGCCATCGGCATCGCGTCGTACTTCTCCTGATGGTACTGGAGCTCCAGATGTAGACTTTTGTCTCTTGTTACTTTCATCATTTTCCTCTTCAGGATCCTCCGCATTGTCTTCCTCGGCATCCGTTGCTTTACCTTTGCCCTTACGCTTGCGCTTCTTCTTTTTCTCTTCCATTTCTTTGAGGTAGGCTTCGGACTTTTGGTAGAAGGAAGGAGGGTCGTGTGCAGATTCCAAGAACTCGTTGTTGAGAAACTCTTCAACTGTAAGAGCACTACTTGGTGTTCTCTTAAATTCCTCCAAACGCTTTTGAATAGTGGCTGTTGTGACTTTGACGACATACACTACTTCGGTGACTGTTCGACGAAAGTTATTCATTCGTGCCGCTAAGATTAAACAAGCGCCACAGACACCGGAAGGTCTTCGTCCCATGACCATCCAATCCAGGCTCATTCTTCGAACCATGCGAATTGCATCATCGGCGACCTTTTCGGTTTGTTCGTAGAACTCAAGTTTGGAAGCGAATTTCCAGATTAAATCTTCGGGAAGAACTGGTAAAATGCCATCCGTAGCCAATGAAATTTGTTTATGAAGAGCTTTGAAATATTTTCCGAGTGTAAATACATTAACCTATGATTGTCAATAAAATTTCAAATGATTTGCCAAGAATGCGAACATACCTGGGACTTGTCGGCAAAATCAATGAGCATAACTCTGCATGGCTGTTCCTTTCTACAGGCACTATACAAGCAAACAGCTGCTACCAGATCCGTTCTACGACCTTGAATAAAATTGTTCATCGATGCAAGTTTGAAGATTTGATGACCAACACCGACAACTTGATCTGAGATCCCAAGTTGGTTTGCTAAAGCTTGCATGACACGCTTTCCTACATGGTATTAGCTTCAAGCAAAGGAAATAGGGGCCTCGTCAGCACTGACCTTCGCGAAGAGTATTCTCCTTATTACTTTCCCCTCCACCAGCTCTTCTAAAGGCAGGTCCCATGGTTTGAGCACCACCTTGATCCGCACCAACATGACTTCCTTGAACGATTGCAGCACCACTGCTACTTTCTCCGAATTGGATTTCTGAAACAATATTTGAATCATCAACCACAGTACCACAGTTATGACATACACCATCTTCAATCTGAGGTTTAGTACATTGTGGATTTGGACAAGCTGGTCTTGCTTTGCCTCTTGCAGCACCCATGGCAGCTTTTCGAGAAAGTGCAGTAGGTGCTTTGATAGGTTTCATATTCCTCAACGGATTGGGCCGCGCCAGCGGTACTTTTGGTCGTGGAGGCATTTTGATGATGAATTTTGATGGATTGATGAATTAAAAATTGATACAGGCAGCCAAGTGTAATTTGCCCCTCTACCCCGCGATATTCCTCTCTTGCCCCCTAATGAAATTGGATTAATTCTCGTTGTCGCAAAGCAACTGGCAAAGCATCAATCACTACACGTGATAGTTGTATGTGCTTGATGAAAAGGATTGGTTGAAATATTTGTTTCGATGGCGACGTGGAAAGGAAGAGTTGAGTTGGGTGTTGCTGTGTGGAAGGTTGCGAAGGTTTTCCAAAAAGCGAGAATGGATTTGTGTTGTTTTGGCGTAGTGGTTTGCTAAATGAACTCGCCCTTTTTTTCACTGTTCGTCGGTGGGGTACGGAACAAGCTAAGCCGCTTTCATTGATTTAGCGAACAGAAAAATTATTATTTGGGAGCCTTTTCTTTGACCATTCACTCAGTTCACTCATCAATGGTAGATTTTATTCATAACTATTGAAGTATTAGCTATAAAAATATAGAGAAAATTCCGAAGGATTAAGAATTCACTTCCTGAGTAATCTGTTAATTAATATTTGACATAACAAGAAGTCTTGGTGAATTATGACATCTTCCATACCCAACTGTCTACTTCATAGGGCGGCTTGGAGTGAAGGAAGGAAGTAAAGAAAGAGAAGATAGCATAGCATTGAGAAGAAGATCAAGCTCCGACATTCCGTTCCCTCCTCCTCTCAGTTAGTGTAACCCGAGCGAGGATTGCCCAGATGCTCGTAGGTGGTCTTCAAGCTATCACTTCGTAGGTGTGGTGTACAGATGTACTAGATAGCTACTATACATGTGAGATGAAGTGTAACAAGTAGCTACGAACGATATCAGAATGTTGAATTCGTCCAAAGTCACGATGATCAAGTCGTCTCTGTTATCATCTCTACCATCATCTATACATATGTACTAGATACCCACTAGGTAGCTGAGAAATTTCACTATCACGATATTGACCTGCGAATCCGTGCCATAGAAGATGCGGTATATGACAGGTAGACTTCTGGATTCCTTCAATCCCCAATGACTTTCTACCAAAATGTTGTCCTACCGATAAATAATCTCCGAACCCCAAAGTGGAAGGCGGTGGTAGAATTTCGGCCGCTTGGTGAGAAAAAAATCCCTGCATATTGAGACATTTTGGTTGTTTTATCAACCTTGAAATCTCTTGAATAAATACAGACATTTTATCCTTTTTCTCTTTTCCCACCACCCTCCCATCACCTTTGCACTTTTTTCTTCCTCTCCCTCTTTCCATCTCTTGTGCCTCTTCCAAGCACAGTACATACATAATCATGGCTGACGATCCAATGAAGGGATTGGAGCATTCCGAGGCTCATTACTTCAACAGGTGAATATATACTCTTCAATCCAATCTTTGCCGATAAGGACGGTTTATGCTAATCTTCAAAATAGTTACAACCATCATGGTATGCAAAACATTCAATAAGATACCAAAGGAAGATGCTAACCAGTACATGAAGGTATCCATGAAGAGATGTTGGTATGTAATTGACAAGCTGGAAAAAAACTGCTTCTCTCAAACTTTACCCCGCTTGCTAACTAAATAATTAGAAAGATGAAGTCCGCACTCGATCGTACATGAATGCTATTGTGCAAAACAAGCACCTTTTCAAGGACAAGATCGTTCTTGATGTAGGATGTGGTACCTCCATTCTCAGCATGTGTGTATTTTTCTTTTCCGGCATCTCAAAATTTCAGAAACTGATGGGATAAAAGGTTCGCTGTCAAGGCCGGCGCTAAACACGTTATCGGTGTCGATATGTCCACCATCATCGAGAAGGCCCGTGAGATTGTCGAAGTCAACGGCATGTCCGACAAGATTACATTACTTCAAGGAAAGATGGAGGAGGTTGTACTTCCATACCCAAAAGTTGATATCATTATCTCTGAATGGATGGGCTACTTCTTGCTCTATGAATCCATGTTGGATACCGTTCTCTACGCTAGAGACAAGTACCTTGCGCCAAATGGTTTGATCTTCCCAGACAAGGCTACCATTTTCATGGCTGGTATTGAGGATGGAGAATACAAGGATGAGAAGATTGGATGTAAGTTTTCTTGAGATTTTCACATGGCCAATACCTTCAATGTTCGCGTACTAACGTATGAAAGTCTGGGACAATGTTTATGGTTTCGATTATTCTCCTCTCAAGGCTACCGCTCTCACCGAACCTCTCGTCGATACCGTCGAGATCAAGGCTGTCGTTACCGACCCAACCGCAGTCCTTACCCTCGATCTCTACACATGCACCAAGGAAGATCTCGCTTTCTCCTCTCCTTTCAAGCTTGACGTGCGTCGCAATGATTTCGTCCACGCTCTTATTGCATGGTTCGATATCGATTTCACCGCCTGCCACAAACCTATTAGATTCAGCACTGGACCTCACACTAAATACACTCACTGGAAACAGACTGTTTTCTATTTGAGAGAAGTCTTAACTGTTGAGCAAGGAGAGCAAATTGTTGGACGATTGGACAACAAGCCAAATGAGAAGAACCCAAGAGATTTGGATGTTAAGATTCAATATAAGTTGGAGACTACAGATCCATTGAGACAAGCTGAAGGTGGTGCTGAATATAAGATGTGCTAGAGAGCTCTCCAAAAATACTGAGTGATGAAAGAGGGAAGAGACTTTCGCGGCTGAGAGCGCAGTCTCTTTGAGGGAATTTAGTTCTCTCATTTGTCAATCAAGAGATGATTTGACATTTCTATGAATGAACTGAACTGGGTATTTCCTTTGGCGTCAAAGATGGACCCATTCAAGATGAATAAATGGTTGGTTGGATGGGAATAACAAGATCTAAGATATGGGCTCAAGATCTTGAGAAGCATAGCATTGCATTGTAGTGCAAAATAGGAAGCGAGCTACGCAGTTGATAATATCTAAATGCAAATAAAAGCCATGAAAGACAACCCTTTTTCTCAACGTATGTGATATGACTGTAGTGATAGCAGTGTGCAAGTGACTTTATCCGGAGGTGTAGTGAAGAGACTTTATTCTACTCCCTTTTTTCTTCCTACCATTGTCACCTTTTCCACTACTCCCTGTCTTGAGACTTAGAATGTTCTATTCAAATAAAGGACATCTATCAGCGATCTACTTCTGCCTTTTTACGCCACTAGTCCCGGTAGAGAATTCGAAGAAGCAAAAACCAAAGCAGGAACAAAAACCAGGACACTCAAGTCTCCCCCGCAAAAAGCATGAGATTAATGGACAGGTGACCAAAGATTCTTTTCTTCAACCACCCCTCCTCCAATCCATCCGATCATGTCTCTCTTCCCCGATTCCAATTATTCCTGACGCACTGCAACACAAAACATGAACACCAAAACCGAGCCTGAACCTCTGCACTCTTTTTCTTTCCCGTATTTTCTTTTAATCCTATGTCTCTGTTCTCTACCACTACTTCCCATCCATCATAGGTTCGGATAATATGCCCGAGAAATCCTCCCCCACCCCAACTCAAATAACACCCCCCCAAACCTCGGCTATCCGCGCGCCCAACGCACCCTGGACCTTCTTATTGCCTACCAGCGCACCGATCTCATTCGACACCATTTCTCTCTTTCGTTTCTTACTCGCTTCTTCGGGATCGAGGAGGAGCGCAGGGCCTTTTCCTTTTCCTTTAGATTTGGATTTTGAGGTATCGCTGACTTGGGCTCCGACTCCTTCGTCGCTGTCGAGATTTTCAAAAGCTTCTAGGAATGCTCGGGGGGTGGCCCATCGCTTTTGTATCTCAATTGCCTTGCTGGCTGTGATACCTCTGGTTCGCATAAGCATTTTGAGAAAAATGTCTTTGAGAGTTAGGTTTTGAGATTTGCTGGATAGAGCTTCGAAGGCGTCGAATGTGGTGTTGTATTCTCGGTTTGGTTCTGTTCTCCGGAGATGTTGCATCAAGGGAGTGTAGTTTTTGACGGATAGTACTTTTGTGGGGATGATATAGAGAGGATTTTCCTCATATTGTTTCTTGAGAAATTTGGTCATGCGCTCGATGTAGTTGAGACTTTCATTCAGATCGAGTGTTTGCTTCACGTGTATACCATCTTGAACCATCATTTTGGCAATGGAGGTTGTGATTCCATCGCCCCACTTGTCCAAGATATCTGCGTCGATTTTCTTGTGTTCGACGAGGTATTTGACGTTTGTGATACTAGATCGTTTGAGACGGAATTTCTGCTCCTCGTATCGACCATCTTTTATAGATCCGATGAGATCGTCGAGTCGTTTGCGCTCCATAATGTAGTCTAGCATGATGAGGTTAGATGCTCCAAGATTGAGCCATTTAGCTTTGTCTTCGCGAACGCGTGCTACCCAGAGGAAATCGCCGAGGGGAAGAGCACGAACGGAATGGGGAACGCCCATGCTGGCTAGCTGGTTGGGAATTCCATCACGATCTTTTTTGCTGGCGACTTCACGATTGTCAAGGATGAGTTCGACGGTGAAGGTGCCGGGACGCAAGATGATGGGTTCGAAGGTTGGGATGCTCGTGGTTTCTCCATTGGGTATGTCAGGAATATTGGGGTTTGATTGGGATGATCGACGGGATGGAGAATCGATTTCTTCGAGTTCGGAATCGGAGTCGTTATCTTGGTTTCTTGAAGCTGTTTTGGATGGACCTGCTACAACAGGTTGAAAGTCATGTGCTCTTCCCAATGTAGGGTCACCGCTAGCTTTGATTGTATCGGCGAGATCCCATCCCTCATCCGTGAGATAATATCTGCTTGCTGGATTCTTTTTCGTGTACACAAAATCTTTGTTGATCAATGTCTTCATAGAATTCCATGCCGTAAAAAATTCACTAGGTCTTGTCTGTGTGAAAGAAGTATCGCAAAAAGGTTCTGCTAAAGCAATGATCTCCTCTTTAGTGATTCCTATTCTGCTATTTCGTGGTTGGGTTCCCAAAGCCAGCATGATAGCATAAGCACCCGATCTCAGTTTCGGAACATAGGCTTTAGGCTTCCTCGCTTTCTTTGGTGAAGGCGAAGGCGTCACAGATTCTCCCCCATCATCAACAGCTACGGATTTTCTTTTTTTGCCCCTCGGCTTCTTAGGCATAGCAATACCCATCTCATCGCAATACTTCTCAAGACTATCAGTCAATCTCTTCGCAAGGCCCTCTCCAAGTCCATTTAAGCATACTGCTTCACTAGGATGATCAAATCGCATTGGACATGCTTTCATTGAATCGCGAGCTTTTTTGACGGTCGGAAGAGATTTGTATCCCCGTTCTTGTGCTTCGACAACCCATTCCTCAAGCCATTTGAGCAGTAGCGGGTTCCCACATTCGATTGCAGGAGGCATTATGTATGTCTGATTAATGACTGCAAGTGGAAGGACAAGGCAAAACTGGAGAATGTGAAGGCGAAAAACAAGCAAGAGGGACAGTTCTGTGGCAATTGCTTAATAAGAAAAATGGCAATTCTCATTCAAGAGATAGAGATTGCGATGACAGCCTGTGAATTTATTGTTATTGCATTGAATAGATGGTGGAATAGCGACAGCTAGTATTGAATGAAAGAAAGAGTTCTAGACAAAATCAAAGATATTCAGTCGACGCGACAACGGAAACAATCACGGCCGATTGCGCGCGGTCACATGACAATTGCTCTGCTCTTTGTGCTACCTTATGCATAGGTTTGTGCAGAGTGTTATGAAAGTAACTGAGGAGTGCAACCTTGTCGGTGTGTGATTACTAAGCAATCGGAATTGCATCACGCTTGTTGACTTCGTGTATATTATTTCTAGACCTTCGTCAAAGACATGATCAAGTATTATTGGGTTGTCATTCGAAGATTTCACCATTTTTGCATTTCCTTCAGGCTAAGAGGTCTGTTTGTGGTCATCGTCGCTGACAGTTCTATCGTCATTTTTCAAGTCTGAACTTCTTCACTGCTTCTGTAAAACGGCGGAATTTGACAAGCTTCAAATGCAAAGTGGTCCAAATATGCCTTACCTTGCCAAACAATGAAAGTGAGACTGGCCTGACCAGCGTCTAACTTTGAAATAAGCACCAGTGTTTAGAGATATCAGCTCTCGAGGGCTACTTGCGAATTTCTCGCAAAATCCTACTACTGAGATGGCGGGTAGTATTTTTAATGCCTTTCTTGAAGCGAGAATTCCCTTATCCAAGAGCATCACGTACTTGGTATGTTGCATAGAAAATGTATCTTCAAGCACTGGTACCTGTTAATTCAACTGTTGGATGTCAGAAACCCCTGTCGTGTATGTAGATACATCAAGTCTTACATCCTACTAATGATACTATGGTCATCTCACAAAATCACCTGTTCTGATATGCTCAGGTCTTGAACAACCCCAATTCTCACGTTTTCTTTTCTTAGATCTGAACATGCGGAGCGGTGATTACCTAAATGTAAAAAAATAACACAAGGATCACCTAGTCATCTTCTTGAAAGACGCAAATGACTTACAATGTCCTTCGCAATTCTCCCAGCCAAACCGCAGGCTCCAGTTTCTTACAAGCTCATCGAGAGCCAAAATATCCATCCGGATTCTTCACTCATCGTATTCATTAATAGTCTTGGTTTACCATCTGTATTATGGACTCCCACAATTGCTCTGCTTCAACGGTCCACTAGTTCTGTAAAGCCGAGCATTTTGAAATACGATCGCTACGATCAGGCTGCCACGACCTCTCAAGATTCAGCCGATAACATACCAGAAAAAGACCATAGATATGGTCACGATTTGCACCATGCAGTCAGCCATCTTAACGAGCTAATCCTAGTCACTGTCCCGAGGAACTCCAAGCTCGTCCTAGTTGCAGCTAGTATTTGTGTTCATATCGCTCGACTCTACGCTCAAAAACACGCAGCTACTGTGGAAGGTCTCTTATTCTTGGATCCAAACATCGGCAATGCCGAAGCTACGGATCTTTGGCCAAATTCTCATACTCCTGACTTTAAAGAAAGCAATGTGTTAGGAGATGATTTTGTGCTGGAGCAACACATCGAAGCGTACGCTACATTAGCACGAATATCTCAACACTGATGTTAAGAGCTCTGAAGGTTTAGATAGAAGAAATGTCTTGCAACTCTAACCCAACGCTTCCTCTCCCAGACTCCAATGATTGACTGGCAAAGGGTCATGGTTATGGTTATTGGGCATGAACCTGAACCTTTTGCAGAAGAGATGTGGAAGATTCTAAAGATTACCAAGAGTATTGACAGGAAGTATACTCAATTGTGAGTTTTTCATTCCTGTAGGGATGATGCGATGTTTTAACAGATTCGCAGTGCATGGCAACAATACAATGAAGCATTGTTTAATCTTAATGATGCTGATCGTTCAACAAATAAAGTCCTTGTTGCTCCTGGTTGTGGTCATTTTATTCAGAAGGACAATCCTCGATTTGTTTCTACGCAATTGGAGGATCCAATTTCAAGAATTCAGATTTGAGACTGTGATCTTCGGCCAAAAATAATACGCCCGAAACCCAGTGCGAAGTCACGGACAACAGATTGCAAATAAATCTAATAGTCCTCGGAGAGAATGGTTGGGATGACCTGAAAAACATATGGAAAAAATCGTGATCAGTATGTTCGATGGTCCAACTCGTTTAACAATTTTGAGTGTATGGTCTGAATTTTCAAAAACTCTGAACAAGATTCGCTTGGATCTCACTACGAAAGCTCAGAATACTACTTTTTCTTACAGGCAAAATAAAGATTTTGGAAAAGAAAAAAACGTGACATTTTGAGCATCCAGTCCAAAAAAACTTGGACTGTTTAGTTTTCGGAATTTGTGTGACGGATTACATGGGAATTTCTTGGACTATTGGAAGTACTGATCATAATTCACACATGTTGATTGACATCCACAGACAAGTCTTGGAAGAGAAATATAATGCCGTTGTACGTATCTGGAAGTCCTGTCAGACCTGAAACGCAGGCTTCACCCCTACAAATACTTTACTGCCCCGAACACTACTCACTAGGGAAAGAACGAGAACTCTTAGTTTCGAAGCTATGAGTAGCTCCTTCCAATCTCTTCCAATAAGAGCCAAGGAGGAGAAATTTTAAATGTTTGTTGCACATCTGGAATTTAATGCACAGGCCTTATCCTGGCAAGCTCTCTTTTTAGGTCTCCTAATGGGAGGTGTCTAGATAATTTGTTTCTTCTGCTCTGGACGCCAGTAGTGGCCCGATGTAACTCACACTTGAATTCTTGAAAATGCAATTTGGGGCATTAATCCTGACGATAGACTGGTTATGCGTGCTGAACTTTTTGCGTGCATTCCCACTCATTTCCTTGATTCCAGAATTTCTCATCTGAGAAGTTTCTCATCTTTCGATTCACGCCTCCCTTCCCCCCTTCTCCCTAAAAGCTACATATGTATCTATCTCTCAGAACTCTGGTTCTTACAGCTTCATTCATGGGTGCGCAGCAATCGTTGCCTTGAAACAGGTTAGTAACATTTCTAGTCTCAGGTCATTCTAGGACAGCTCTTGCACTTTGAACTACTCTTACGTTATCCATCAGTCATTCTCATAGAAATGACATTTGGCTTGTCTTCAACAGGATTAACCCTAACAAATCCCACGTCGAGTAAGATTAGTGGTATATCATGATCACCAAGTTTCCAGAAATCGACTAGCGAAAAGTCTATTCCAAGAATTGTTCATTCTTGGCTCCGATAGTTGGAGCTGGCTCTGATCACTTTCAAACTACAGTCACTATTCTCTTATGACATGAATGATTTGCACACCTTGAAACTTTGAATTATGGAACTCATCCTGACAAGTCTGTAAGTACCATTCTAGAGTTCAGAAGTCATTGTTTAGGCGTTAGACTAAAACCTTTACTAACCCTGACAATCGGAACTATTTTAGAAACATTCTCCATTTTGAGCTTTTAAGAACGATTTGTTGCACATCTAAAGACAAAAATTTCAAGGTCTCATCCTGACTAGCGTTATAAATAGTGCCCGGTTTGTAAAGCCGATTAGAATCTAGCTTTTGGATCCTGGTATCACAAATTGATCCGCGTGTTTCTTTAGCATCAAGTCAAGAACACATGCTTTCGATTTCATCCAGTTAAATCCATCGAAATGACTTCTGTTGCATATCTACAACTCCAATTTACAGGGGATATCCTCACAAGAAAATTAGTGGTGTTATTTATATCGTTTGGATACTCACTTCCTATGCCCTTACCGGTAGGAATTCTAACCCGTTACTTCTGGTAATAACACCCACAAAAAACTTTGTTAAAGCCATCAACTGATATGCTCTGAATTACAAAAACAATGTTTATCTCTTTGGCTGGGGTGACTGGAAGTGATATTGTTCGTAGTTCCACAGCACTAAATTCATACACCTAGAAGAACTGAAAGTGCTTCGTGACTGTTGAGGTTTGGAACTTTCTTCGTAAAGTCATGATATATCATCAATCACTTTTTCGACCCGGAAATTATAGACCGTGAATGCTGACTAGCTGATGTAAAGTCTAAGTCCTGAAAGTTCGCTTAGCATCCTGACAGTGTGTCCTAAGTTAATGCCCTAACAGAAAGTCTAATTCTCAGTAATTCGTTTAATGGCGGAGACGTATGTGATGATTGGTAGATCGCATGTATATGATTACCTTTCGAAGGACTCCCCTTCTTCATGTTTCCGGGAGAGTAATTCTGTACGCAGTATCGATCAATAATCCCTGGGAACTTGATTCAGATTCATCAAGTCATCTTGAACAGGTCAAATAACTACACAATTTACTCTCTCTCATTTTCCTTCCGTTGCAGATTCACAAGCCCCAATAAACAAGCATCGTCCCCACCAGTGCATCATGATAAGATATCACAATACCTTAATCTCAAACTACAGATCCACTACACCCCCCCGACTTTTCACATCCACCCATTACAATTTTCTAAAACTTTCCTGTTGCATATCTACAAACTCCGCGCACAGGCCTTATCCCAGCAAGTACACAACTACTACATAACTTCACGACCAGACTATAACTCTAGTCAGTCGATCACAACTTTCAGATGCTCCAATCAGATTTCTCAGAATAGTTTTGTTGCATGTCTATAAAATATTTTCACGAGGGTCATCCCAGCAAGTATAAACACCATACAATCATTCTCTCTTAAGCTATAAGTCTTGGCGCAAGATCGCGGCTTTTAGCTTTATGTCACGCTCGACAATCAGAAAGATCTGCCACGCGAAGCCCTGGCATAGTAACTAAAGGAATTATAACAATCTTCTTATTTTCATCCTGCAAATCACATCATCCTATGAACTCCAATAGTAATGGGGTAATATTACTCTTATAGTGTAAACTAAAGGATCCAACTAATGACAAAAGTACACTACTTCGCGCTTTCATATCAAACATCCTCTACTCAACTCAAACTCAATATCTACAATTCCTCCAACCACACTTCTCGGAGAACTTCTGTTGCACATCTGGATCTGAACAATACAAGGATAATCCCAATCAACAAGCGTGCAGACAGTACTTCGTAGCCTACGAATCACCGCGGAAACCTTAACTTGGAACGAACATAAAGCGAAATAGATTCTCGGATCTGAGAGTAATAAGTATATGGACGTGGCATTCACATCTTAAGCTTCGAAGAAATCGCAATCTGTATCCGACTTCCTTGGCAGGTATTTGCATGCGAATTCCAGAAATCCGTGTGGATGATGCATCCGTCATAGATTCGAAAGATGTAGCGACCCATCATCGTGGTAGCTGACTCTGGATCCTCAGATCATATTTGTACTTGTACATATACCTTTCCGACCTCGTTTCGCGCTCTCATACTCAAAGTTCCTATTAAGTTTTCTCACAAATCCTTACTGTTGTATAACCGCATCTTCCTGAATACCTTGGGCAAAATCTATTTCGGAGCTCACGATGGTACTATCTTTGCCTGAGATTCCTCAGAGAAAGAGAGATGTAGTATTTTGTGGGTCTCACACGGGTCAATAAGATTCCCTGGAAATAATGGAGGTATTCATATTATGAAAGTATAAAGTTTCCAGACGAGGAGGTAAGAGCCCAATGTCAGGACACTCCTGTCATAATTTCATCACACACTAAAATACATCCTATCGATTCAATCATTCTTGTATACTCATAAGGAATGAGAGTACTAAGTTCGCCGATATTCCAACAAATAATATACTTATCAACGGCAGCATTACCCATTATTTCGCCTACTGAGAAAGAGAATAAGCATTATATGCAAATGGGGTATCGAAGACAGCCAGTCTCCTTTGAATCCCCTATATCGTATCTCATTCTGCCTATGATCAGCCGCAAAACACTATCCCTACGAAATGGCCACTTATTCTCTCAGTCCGTACACAATTTCGCCACTTAATGTCAAAAGTCGAGAAAGGTAGATTTAGATCGACATGTGTAAATTGGGATTATGTCTCGGTCGGTTCCTTGCTATAAAGGAAAGTCGTGTAAAGCCAATGTCGCGGATCATCGCTCACAGAACCCGACTTAAAAGCCGAATTTTGTTCGAAGAGGGGGGATAGAATATCGCCGCTTGCTCACTATAGTCCCTATACGCGAAGGAAATCACTAATTTATTCGAAATCGAAAAGATCGTCCGTTTTGCTGCGGAGGAAAGTTCCAATACTCTGTATCAGAGTCCGTCTCTTCCTAATATTCAAGCAAAGTTCCACCTTTCGTGTCCACTTCACTTTCCCTTTCAACATAAGGCTCCACTTCCAAATCTGATCTCATCACATCAACGACTACTCTCTGAACCCCCATTGTAATCTTATATCCGGCCAATCCCAACAACGCAATAATGATAAGTAACAAGTTGATGATAGCCAATAAGCAAAATGGTATTGTATGCCACAATTGTACTCTGCGTAAAGGACAGCCGTTTTGGCTTCCATCTTCGGCATCAATCATGTTGGATAAGAGAAACCGTAAAGGGCATATTCCGCCCGCAATTCCGCCCGCAGATGCTGATTGTGTGGCCGGAGGGGTTGAAGAAGATGCTGAAACGATGGATTCGCAATCTGTATCCTTGTATTTTTCCTTGTCGCCTTTTTCCTTCCTGGTTTTCTTTTCGACATCCGAGCGGCGACGGATGCGAATATTCGCATGGTGCCTTTCTCTCTTTGGGGCCGAATGCATGGCAAGAATACAACTCTACGTCAAATTCCAGGCCTTGAACAGGAAAGCATGTTGACACATTCCACTTAAGTATATTTTATGCGGGGAATTATTGGTCACACAGGAGTAATTTGTGAGGGAACTTATTGGCCTTCTTCAACTACATTAAGTGTCTTGATATCATGTATACATATTGGGGGTATATCAGGACGTGTGAAAGACAAGAATGATCAAAGTTCTTGTTAATCAATCAGAGGATAGTCAATATGGCACCGATTGACCAATCATTTATCAATCATCACGCCTCTCAACTTTGAAAGTATCAGATACTTGTAGAGATTTTTCTCATCAAAAGTCATGCAATCAATCGGATATTGCATTCTCGAGGCTTGTTTGTATGATATCGAAGGCCAAAGAATGGTTAGCGATATATCAACTACCCCGCTCAAGTTTCACGGCACGAGGCATAAAATTCGACGAATACACGATGATGTGTGGATGGTGGCTTGTTTGAGGACCTATGAACCCATTCTGAGCGAGCCCCAATGAAGACTGGTTCTGCATTCATGCAATCAAGGTCCGAACATGAGATAACTCGACATTGTAGTGATATGTGGTCCACTCGGAATCTTGCCAGATGATACTACTGCAGTTGGACGGATAGCTGCCAGCTTAAGCTGCGAGAAGCTGTCAAAGGCTACGAATCAAGATAGCAGGAAATTCCCACTGCTGCAAGATCGAGATTAAAGCTCACAACAACGGGTTCCATGTGAACTTGAAGGATACTTATCCTGCGGTGCGAGCCACACTTGAGAATTCATATGCTTGCTTCATCCTGGGTATCCGGAACTAAAGGTTGAACCACACTTTTGGCTGATTGTTTGACAATATGATAGATACGATACATCAAAGCTGTTGAAGAATACTTCAAGGAAGTTCAAGGAAGACTTTTCACTGGAGAGCATATGAGTACAAGTAAAGTATTCATGCAATAACAAGATTATCCGAAGATAATAGGGAAGGTATCAACGATATCAAAGTATTTGGAATAATATTGGAGAACCTTGGAAATGCACGAGAAGTCAGGAGGAACATACGGCTAAACTTCGCTACACTCCACCCCGCCACAAATTGATAAAGCCACTCCCACTGAAGTCTAAGGTTCAAGGTTGCCCGCAAAGTGGAAGACGTCACAACACAACATCCAAGCTTCATTTTGAGCTTCCAAGAGCTGCTGTGCGATTATTCGTGGTAACACCTTTAGTGAATTGTGCCACAACCAACAAGGCAACACATCTGCAGTTACCCTCACCGACTTCTTAAATTCTTCACCTACCTCAACGTGTTGATTTACTCGCTATCATGGTTCTTGAAAACTCCTCATCCAAAGAGGCAAACGGATCGTTCGACTCCGTTCCTACCTCCGACAGCGATCCTTATGCGTCTTCGGAACAAGGCAAAGGCCAAGCTGCCGGTATTCAAACATACAAAATCGATGGCAGTACGATACCTCAACCACTACCATTATTCGGCCCTCTGTTCGGGTTCAATGATACCCTCTTAACCAACATCATCAATGCCCGCATCCAGAATTCCAGCAAAATCACCAATCGCCCACTCAGACAAGAAGAAATCGATGCCCTTGCATTGCATACTGCGAAGATAATTAGGATCAATTCATTTGCACCTGTTGCAGGTTTATCCGGGGGTATCTACAGAGCAGTCCAAACGGCTCCTACCTTTCGTTTCCCATTCTACCAACCAAACCTCGAGACTTTCAATTCAAGCGTCTTTCCCCACGCGAAAATGCCGTATATCAAAGGACCTCCGGCACTAATTGCTTGGCATGCATTCAGAGGTTTATGTTATGCTTACATTGGAACCACTGTATCAAAGTTACTTTTTGGGGGGTATGCAGCTAGTGTTGGGGCCGTAGGACAGATGGGCGATCCGCGATTGAAGGATATTGTAAAAGCTACATCAGAAGAAGTCGCCAGACATCAAAAGAATCTACCTAGTCCTGCAGGGATTCCCAGACCTCCCATGAAGCCAGGGCAAGGACAACCGCAACCCCAGACTCGAAGTACACAAGGATATGACGATGCTAGTCCGACCGGGGACGCGGAATGGTCTGGAGAAGATAATGCACCTGGATCTGCGCAGACAACTCCTCAGACATTCCCACAGACGAGAGGCTGGCCACAGGGAAAACCGGTTCCTGCACAAGCCCCAGCACAAGAAGAGGAGAAACCGTTTGATTTGTTCGATGATGCTTCACCTACAAATAGCCAAGGAATGGATACCGAACCAACAACATCCCAATCTTCTAGACAGACAGGTTCAGCTTGGGATCGAATCCGTCGTGGCGAAAAACCAGCTTCCAGTTCTACTACCACTTCGTCACAACCGCCAAAATCCGGGTGGGCAACAGTACAAAACAACAAACCTAAAGCATCGAGTGATGGCACATCGAGTGCAGATAGCTTTGCATTTTCTAAGACAGAAGAGGAGAGAAATCTGGCTCAAGTAGAAGCACAGAAAGAATTCGACGCTAGGGTTGAAAAGGAAAGGAGAGGCGGGGATTTCAGCAGTGGTGGAGATCAAAAGAGATGGTGAGGGATTGAAGATTTGTATAAGTAGCATTTGGGTGTAATTATCGTTATTGCATAAGCGTTTAGGATGCATGGAATGGAAATGGACATGGAAATCCCCATGGAATCAAGAAATAATTAAAGTTGCAAGTTCACTTGTCAAACCAAACATAGCATTGTATCATACTGATCACATCACACTCCTTCCATGTCTTAAACTCTCTATCAATTTTTCTAAGTACCAGGTAGGCAAATAGCCATCTCATCTCATTGTACACATCAGATATTATTTCATCTCCATCTCCATCTCCATCTCCATCATCTCATTCCTCATCTCCTCTCCTCTATCTACTCTCTCCTCCCCCCTTGACTACCCCATATATTAAAATCCACGCATGAAAACCCTGAAAGCCATGCCAAACCCCCCTAAATAAAACAGTTCTGTTCTTTTCCTGTAAAATTAATCCCATCCGATCCCCATGTCGCGGAAATTTTTGCAAAATTTTTGAAAAGCAGATTTTCCTCCCGTGGCCAGGTTCCCGTGCGTTCGTTCGTGTTTATTCATTTATTAGTTCCTTGCTTCGTTCTTTTGATCTTTCTTTCTTTTGTTCTTTCTTTCTTTTGTTCTTTCTTTCTTCCTTCCATTGTGACTGCGAATGCGAATGCGAATGCTTTTTAGACCTCAAGAAGTGAAGACCCCCCACACGCATTCGTTCATCCAGACTGAAAAGTCAAAGTGAAACCCGAATGTGAAAACTCCAAACGTATGTTCATGCATGCATCCATCCATGCACATTACAACTCCTCCCCGCCATCCTCACCCTCACACCCCATACTAATCCCCGAATCTCTCCTCAAACTTCTCAACCTCTCCTCTTCCTTCTCCCTCTCCTCCACCCTCCCATCACAATACCCCAACGTTACATCGCCCCAAATGCCCACGCCCTTGTATCGCGCCAACTCCCCGTCCCACCCGCGAATCTGTTTTGCCATGGCTTCCGCATCCGCACTATTGACGTCGACTAATTTTTCCATGTACGTGCGTACGGTAAATAGTACCGCGTTGGATTTCGGGAGACGAGTAAAGGTTTGCCGTTCGCGACGGATGTAGATGTCTGAGGGAGTGAGTGGGGAAGAGGGGGAGGGAGGGGCTTCGGGAATGTCTTGGAAGAGGATGGGGGTGGTTTGGATGAAGAGGTTGGAGCGTTCCATGCAGGTGCGCGGGGTGAGGTGGGTGAAGTAGCTGGGGGGTGGTTAGTATGTTGATGTTTTATATATAATATATTCTGGGAGTGGGAAATGTGGGAAATGTGGGAGGGAAGTGGACGGCTTACCGATTGACACTCTTTCCTAACTTTTCTTTCCATCCTGGTACGGGTTTATGTAGTACAGCCATGTTGCTTCCGATTCTCTCTTGCAATTTCCAGCCTGCGGGAAAGAGCGTGGCGGAAGCCATTAAATTCCATTCTCCATCTTCTTCGGATGGATCTTGTAACAAGAGATTGAAATCTTCCATGCAGAGACGAGCTGCTGTCTCGAGTGGACTTTTACATTTCGAACCAATGATAGATAGCTCTCCTGTTAACTTATTGAGGATTGTGTTTTCGTCCACGAGGGAGAAATCATTAGGATATCGATCTAGGAGAAACTCAATGACCATTTCGAGGAGTTCGTATGTGGCTGGGATGGCTGGGGGTAAGACTTGTAAGACGCATGGTCCATGTGTTTCGAGGAGTGAAGCGCGGAGTTCATGCTCGGCGAGATAGGTGGAGTCGATGGTGAGCCAATTGGATTTGTCAAGACGTTTGAGACCCATTGAGGTTGGATGGGGAGAGGTGGGTTTGAGTGGTGGGAGAGCATAGGGTGGTTTCTGAGGACCGGGCTGGGTTTTGGGAGGTTGATGGGGTGGGGTGGAGAGAGAGGTAGATGATGTGGATGAGCTACATGATAGTAGGTGGGAAATTTGGGTGAGAGGGTTATGGAGGAACTTTGTAATGTTTGAGGGTGAGTTTGTAGAAGGAGAAGTTCTCTTATGACTTCCATTCTGAGGACGTCGTGTATGAGTCTTTCGTTGAGAGCTGAGGATATATAAAATGCATGCCGTAGCAAAGAAGACGAGAGACTCCACAAGCAACATATTGCTTCCGTTCTGTGTTCCGAAGGCTAATGACGATGATAAAGATTTGAGGTCCGGGTATGGTATACTATCTCTTGAAGATGAAGCCGAAGATGAATTGAAAGAGGAAGGATGAGACTGTGTTCCCTCTGAGACCATTGGAAAGCCTTTATTTATATTCCCCACAACATCTTCTTCCTTCTCTGCATGCACCAAAGAGATTCCAGAAAGTCCCAACGATGGCCCAGACCGACTCATCGAAGTCCGGGCAGGCATTCCCGATAATCCATGCGCAAGTGGCGTTTGCACCTGCATATCCGGAGAATATTTGATTGATAGATTTGACAAGATGCCGATTCCGAGCCGTTGCATATGTATGTACTGTAGGCACTTGAAAAGCAAAAACTTTTATTTTTTTGGAATGGGGAAAAGTAAATATATAGCAGGGAAGGAGGACAGGCAGAAATATATCAAGAAACTTGGTCGAATAGATTAAAAGATGAATAAAATCTCTTCCTTGCTACATGAGGGAGGGATTGGTTTGTATGATAAAACGTAGGTCGTATTGCTACGTATATGTGAACGTGTGTAATGAGTGAGAGAATGGGAAGGTGAGTGAGTGATGAATAATATTGAGAGAAAGATGTTGTAAAAGTCGTGTAGATGTTTGTATGGACTGGTGTGACTTCCGGCTGCAAAATCTGCAACAAAAGTAGGACGACAGGTAGATTCAAGGAAAAAGATAGGAGAGATGGATGGAATGTTGAAAAAGAAATATAAAAATCGGTCCCAGCTACACGGGGTTGGGAAGGTTCTTTAATATGATAGAACCAATCCGGTCATGTCATATCAATTATGCCATTATGGAGTATTGTATTCACTTGGAGAAACAGAGAGTTATTAGAATTTGCCTGGGCTCAAGCGTTCTCAAGCGTTCTCAAGCGTTCACGCTCAGCCATGATTGTTCATCAACCCATCTTCTTGGGTAAGGTAATGAGAGGAAGAAGCTACAAGCTAGATGCATGGCGGCCATGGCTGTGATTAATTGCATCTTGATTCTTGATTCTTGAAAGATCGCTTTGTTCATGGTCCACTCGGTCCGGGTCATAGCTATTGCGTGTACGGTACGAGTAGGTATTAGAAATTACGAGGGTGGAGATGGGGAATCATCAAACCGGAATCCCTTGATTAGACGTGTGGGAAAGGCTAGGAATGATGAGCAAAAAGTTTGACATGAAAATGATCCAAGTAGATCTTTATTTATTCAAGACAGGTATGACCTTGACACATATTTGGATATTGTGGCAACTCCTCGGCTTATACTACGACACGCGGTAGCCGTGTAACGTAAGTGGAAAGGGGGGGAAGGTCATCCGAGAACTAACACCTGGGCCGAAATGGGTAATGGGTGGAAAGTTTATCGGAGTCGGATGGATAGAATGGCTAGAGTTAGGTAAGTGCGACAGATGGTTCGTATGTACGGCGTGGTGTGGCGTGGGAGAGAGAAATGTCGAGACAAGCAAGAGAAGACGGCTGGATTCCCAACATCCAGTCGGTTGAATTTGATTTGTGATCTTGGTGGTGATTCAGATGGTCATGGATGAATGAAAGCCGGTAAGGTGGGAGGGAGGTGTGGGAGGTGTGGGAAGTGTGGATGGTGGATGGTGGATGGTGTGTGATGTGTGGTCACTGTGGTGGACTCGATGGTTTTGTATCGGAATATGTAGCTTTTGCTTTCCGAGTGGATACTTTCATTCACAACAGAACCAGGACCGTGGCGGACTCGCAGGTAATGAAAAATATGGGGAAACTTGGTGTTGAGCTTACCCATACCTAGGGAGTTATTCTTAGAAGTCGATTCTACCTACTTGGTACTACGATAGAGAGAGAGAGAGTCGTAATACCTCGTAGTGGAGTGGGAAAGGTTGAAGATGGAAATACGAAGCATACAAATCATACGAATGAGAACATCTGGTGTCGTGTGCGTTATATTTTGTGTACGATATGATATGGGCATCACGCATCACGCATCACGTATCACGTATCACGTATCATCACAACATTTTCCATGTTGATATGGTCGACTAACCCATGAGCTCATTAGTGAGTATTTCGTACAGAAAGTAAGGTAAGGTACGTGATGAAATTTAATATATTCAAGGGACAACTCGTATCATGATTGGCTCACATGACATCGGAAATCGCAGAGATCTTGAGAATCTTTCTTGGATGTTGGGAAACTATTGGAAGTTGGGGCTGAGTTTTCCTCCCAAGCCATACCAGGATCTATTTTTTGAAGTTGACCGCGAAGACCGCGGGGGAATAATTATGGTCAAGAACCAATTGGATTCTATCGTGATGGATGATGAATCATGGATCGACATCTCCCTGGTAGGTACCTAGGTGATGGATAAATTGAACTTGCGTCAAAGAGAACGACCAAAGTCACCCAACAACCCACCAAGCATGAGTGAGCTTGAGGCCAAAGTTCGTTCGTGTGGTGGGAGGCGGTTTCATTGGATCCATTGGATTCGTTGAATTCATGGGATTCATGGGATTCATGACTCTGCGCGGTGAACCGGTGAGATGTCTATCATATCTATCATGTATGAGATGGCATATTCGCAATCTGATACGATAAGGTTCTGATCTCGCAACAACGACCCCATTCATATACATAACGTTAATGTAAGTACTAGGAACGATGTGATATAAATTGAATGTACGAGAGACTTTATTGCTTATTCCAAGTATCTAAAGTATTTGGTACTGAATTGGTATTGGCATTGGTGAGATGATGGAATCTAGATGGCATCGCGGACGGAGATGCATTCACGTATCTAGATTCCCAAAAGGTTATCTCTATCTCTCAATCCACAATATGCAGCCACCGACAGCTTACCTCCCATCTGAAGATCCTCCATGAATCGAGTAAAGAAGTCCCGTTTGACTCAAAGCCATTAACAGTCTACAACGTCTACACGCAGTGAAACCAAAAACAAAACAAAATCCCAAAACGTTTTTCAAAGCCTTTGCATCACTCGTGTCGTATCACATTCACATTGTACACAGAGCAAGAAAAACAAAATGTCTCTCAATCTCAACTTAACTTCCAAAATATGGTTCCCTCGAATTATTCCTCGCGGCAACAGCGGAAAATCATGAAACTTGGACCATTTCTGCGGCTGAACACTTCCAACCTTCTTTTCATTCTAAAAAAGTCATCACGTCGAACCTAACCCGTCCACCTCTCAACTCTAATCTGTAAACGGATATCGCGCGGATTTCCTCAAATTCCACACAGAGGCCATGGCGCATTTGGCGTGAGGTACGACTTTCCATACCGAATGATCTTGGCGATGCTGGCTTTATTGGCAATTTGGGTGGAGGTGTGCTCTCCAGACTTTTTCATCAACTGCATCGTTGCACCACAGCTGTGTGAAATACCACCTACACACCTGCTGCTCACTACACTACACTGCCAATAAATATACATCTGCATGACAGTATCCACGGTACGCTGATCCGGGCCCAGGAAATCGTTTCGTTTTCCAAGGGTGGGGAATTGAGGGAGGGGGATTCCTTGTCCGCAGTGACCCATTTAGGATTGAGATCATGTCATGGTCGTACACATCGCCAATTGCAGCTACGGCGATTCCTACCTCTGGCCTGCACATCACGTAATCCGGTAAGCATGCTTCTTTCGCAGATACCTGGAGATACTGGATACGGTACTCCGTTTATCGTGTACACACCTCGATTCTCCACTCTCAGCCAAATGGAGACGTCTGGGATACCTGGCAGACAGCCCCGGCAGACAGAGGTGCATAAAAGTCAATGCGGTTTCATGCAAGAAATTTCATGGTTGGTGGGTGAGTGAGCGAGGGAGGAAATGCCGGTTGGCTGGATCCTGTCATGATGCTGGTGCGAATCACGTATAGTGTGCTGTGATGCGTAAATGCTTGCAATGGAATGCAAACGGGTGGATATATGGTTCGATAGTTGCACAGGTTCTAGATGGATATCCTAGCATGTGGCTTTGGGGGAATAGGGAATAGTGACGTTTGATATCAAGGGGAGGATGCGACGGAATCTAGATCTTGGTTGTGGTGTCGGATTTGGGAGGAGAAATGGGGGGGGTGAGGTTTTGGGTGTGCTCTGGTGGTGGGTGTGATGTTGTAAAGATGAGGATTTGTTACTTCATACTCCTGTTTTAGAATGGAAATTCGCGTTTGTAACGTTTGGTGTGCGTTTGTGGACAGTTGCATATGTCATTTAACGGTTAAGCCGGTATTGGCTCCTCGTGCTCTTCTGAGCATAATATGCATATTGACTTACCACACATAACAACAAAGTGGAGTGGAGTATAATATATGTGTTTACAATCTACGGTCTGCGGAACTCGTCGCCAACCTCATCTACCAATGAACAAGGCTTACAAAATCCCGAACATGGTCAACATCGCCACGATAACCACGATGATGACGCTGAGTAACCTAGAACAACATCAAAAAAAATCCCGACAAGTCAACCTTTCCTTACACAAACAAAGTACTCCGGAAAATACATAACGAGGCAAATATTTACGTGGATGCCGCCGGAGCCACATTTTCAATTTGTACTGCTGGCTCAGGCTGCGTTTGACCAAAGTTCAAATCTAGAGCTATCATATTTCGCACCGTGGTTTGAAGCCACCATGGCCATCCTCGAATTGTGCCTAGTATGCCCATATCCTTAGGTAAGATGATCTGGCCACTTCTTCCCGCCAACACTTGATCGACAACGGCATTAGAAATGGTTTCAGGTTGGAGATATGGATCTTTGAAGCTGGCTTGCGAGATTATATCCTCGACCAATGGCGTCCGAACCCATCCTGGATTGACAACACTATTTCCTTTGTGAGCATGAAATACTGGTGGCAATTTCGGGCGGATGGAAAGTTGAGGACTTACGTGGTTCGGATATTAGGTGCGTTGTATAGAGCTTTCAATTCTGATGCAAGTCCTTCATGAAACGCGAGAGCACTGGCTTTCGAACAGGAATAATCTACATTGGAAGCGTACACCAAGTAGCTTGCTAAAGAGGCAATTGTCACTACGTGACCATGGTTCTTCTTGACCATCGCCGGGACGAATTCTCTGGCCAGAAAGAAATGAGATATCGTATTAACCTCAAATGTCTTTCGGGTTTGTGCTTCGCTGCCTTCTAGAATGGGCATGAGAGTACCAACCCCGGCATTGTTAATGAGCACGGTAGGATCTCCATGACTTTTCCTTATTTCGGACGCTGCAGTGGCAATTTGGGATGGTGATGTTATATCAACTCGATAGTAGAAGACATTTGATGCTTTAATATTGTTAGTCACCATTGTATATCATGTGTTTCCGAAGGTAGAAAAGCTCACGAAATGGCATCTTTGGAGGGTTAACATCCATTACCACAACCTTGACCCCTTTAGATGAGAACTCTCTTGCCATTGATTCTCCTATCCCACTGGAACCACCCGTGATCAAGACAACCTCTTGACTCTTAATGAATTTCGCATTGCTTTTCCAATTATTCAACACAAGCTGAGATAACTTCTTATTGACACCGCGTACAATACCCAAAACGAGGAGGGCCTTCAATGCCCGAATGAAGGCGGGAGAATAAGTATATGGCTGGATCTTATTCGGTATAATAGATCGCAATTTATCTGGGTAGTACCGAAGTGCTACAAGCAAAAGACCTGTGAGTTTAGGGTCAAAAGGGGCACCTAAAATTGCTGACATTTTGGCTTTCCCTGCGATTTTCAATATGAACAGTAGTGATGAAGGAGCAGATGAATCAGTAAGTATGACGGGTTGAGAGTTCCAATATAAACTTAATACAAATACCAAATACAGTGGCTCCAAGTTTCTACTAAAATATCTTGAGAGCAGTCGAATTCGATGTCGACGACTTCATAGAGATGCCGAGGTTTATTAAATTGGCGGTGGACGAGACACATAGGTAGGTTACATGTGTTTAGGAATGGGGAGCGTGCGGATAAGTGTTCAGCGCGTCAATCTCCGGTAGATATACCTAGAATTACCTTCCTGGGAACTTACAGTAGATCATATACCAAATATAACTCGGTGAACTCAATAGTATGGGGAAAAACTCTTGGTGACGCAAATTTGACACGACAAGCACCATTTCATCTCACCACACATGGAATCGTGAAGTTGAGTGAGGTGTGTATACTTACCTACAAATCACGGGACTTGTATTAGTCACGTGAATAATTGCCAATGGATTCTTCCTCTTTTCCAGCTACCCCGCCCTTCACAGGATATAACCCCGCCTTGTGCTACCCATCTTAGGCTTTAACCACATCACTTTATTACATCCGAAGAGAGACATTACTCAGAGCACGAAGTAATAAATTGTCTTTTGATATCCAGACAGTTACTCCTTCTTCACTCCCAATATTGACCAAAAATCAACCCAAAGAGTTCCAATATGAGTTCAAACAAACTTCCATTCGATGTAAGTTTAAAGTTTCAGGGACACTTAACAGACTTCTAGCTCGCAACACTAACTTCTCTCATTCTAGCTCAAAAATACATCGCTTTTCCATGACAAATCTTATGTGAATGGAGAATGGGTAGAAGCTAAATCTGGAAAACGCTTCGATGTCTTAGGTTCTCATTCCCTTCTCGAATCACAGTTTCTCATCCATCTCTTCAAATCTAACTCCTGAATCTTCGTCAGATCCCGGAACCGGTCAAGCATGGGCCACAGCACCCGATAACGATGCGTCCGACGTAGATGCAGCCGTTCAAGCTGCTCACACGGCCTTTCAATCTTTCAAGAAAGTCAATCCCAGGACACGTGCTCAGTGGCTTTTGAAGTGGGATTCTTTGATTAGAGAGAATAAGGAGGATTTGGCGAAGATTGTTACTTATGAGACGGGGAAACCAATTGCGGAGAGTTTGGGAGAGATTGATTATGCGTTGGGTTTTACGTGGTGGTTTGCTGGGGAGGCGGAGAGAATCTCGGGGACGATTCAGGTACGTGTCTTTTTCGTGTCTTTCTATGGCGCTACGGAATGCTCTTTTAGGCGGATGGTACTTCAAGCGTCTCCTCAGATGTTCTTTGATATTGCACAGCGTCTGCTCTCGTGTTTGCAAGCCACTAATTTATCCTTCTGATTAGACACCTTCAGCACCAGGTAGGAGAGTCTTCACTGTGAAGCAACCAGTCGGTGTAGCTGCTGCACTAGTCCCATGGAATTTTCCAATTGCGTAAGTCATTCCATCCAGAGTAAGGTACTGACTAACGATCTGTAGAATGATCCTGCGAAAGGCTGGAGCAGCATTTGCGGCAGGTTGCTGTATGGTAGCAAAACCATCACCAGAAACACCGCTTTCAGTGCTGTCCTTGGCTTTCCTTGCCGAGCAAGCAGGATTCCCAAAAGGTGTATTTAGTGTTTTGACCACGAGTTTAGATAACACACCTCCGTTAAGTGAGGCACTGTGTCGTCATCCACTGATCAAGAAGGTTACGTTCACTGGTTCTGTAAGCGTTCCTTGCTATATTCCAGATTTAGCCAAATACTAACGAATTCAAGACGAGAGTTGGTAAACTCGTTGCAAAGCTGTGCTCCGACGGATTGAAGAAAGTTACTTTGGAACTAGGAGGCAATTGTCCTTTCTTGATATTCGATGATGCAGATTTGAACCAGGCTGCTGATGGTACGTGATCCATTCTATATCAGGGGAGCTTTAAACTGTGTCTACTACGACTGAATATACTTTTGAACGTCTTTTCGAAAAGCTTATTAACACACTCAGCTCTCATGGCTCTCAAATGGCGACATGCCGGTCAAGCTTGTATAACCGCCAACCGCGTTTATGTACAATCTGGTGTTTACGATTCCTTCGCTTCTCTCATCAAAGAGAAAACATCCAAACTCAAGATCGGCCACGGAGCCAAAGAAGGGACCACAATTGGTCCTCTTACCACTCCTCGAAGTATCGATAAAGCAGAAAACCAAGTCGAAGATGCCAAGAAGCATGGTGGAAAAGTTGTACTCGGGGGGAGTAAAGTAAAGGACACTACCGGGTATTTCTTTGAGCCGACTATCATCTTGGGCGCAAAGAAGGAAATGTTGATCACCGAGGAGGAAACTTTCGCGCCAGTGTTAGCATTATATTCTTTCGATACGGAGGATGAGGCTGTAGACGCGGCAAACAACACTAGTGTAAGTTTTGTCTACAAGTTTCCGGTAAATGGTATTTGAGATGGCGCACTGACAAGAATAACATAGATGGGACTAGCATCCTACTTCTTCACCAAGAATATCGATCGTACATGGCGACTTCTCGAAAATCTAGAGGCCGGTATGATTGGTATGAATACTGGTATGTAGTCTCGGTTCTCCAATTCTTCCTTCTCTAATCAGAAACTTTGTGCTAAATATCTAAATATAGGTAATGCATCAGCAGCCGAATCACCATTTGGAGGAATCAAAGAGTCAGGGTATGGAAAGGAATCTGGGAAAGACGTCGCAGTCAATGAGTACCTTATTACGAAAACAGGTACGATGACTATTGATGGACATTATTAGTTCTCAGTGGTCAAGAATCGGTGATGAACATCTAGGATTATGACGGATGGAATTATGTATTTACGAGAACATGTTGATGATAGCGCTGACACGAATGAATGTTATATTGCATCTTTCCGAGGAATGATTTGAAAGGCTCTCGATGAATCATGTATGCATTTCTGTATGTTTGTATAGTCTCCAGTCCAGCCTATGTATTCTGAGCTGTTTTCTGGGTTTTCTGGGTAAAAGTCAGGGACCAGTACTCTCACACCATCTCATCATTTCCCCCATTATGAAACGATAATAAATACAAAGAAACAGTAGTGAATTCAAGTCAGACCCAATCCGATTCAATCCCACCCCATCACATCCCATCTCATCTACACCACCAATCATCCCGGAACAAAGACGTAAGGTTTACAACATAATTTCTATCCATTCCTCGTGCTAGATTTACATTCATTATTGCAGCCGCGAAAGAATTCCAACACATCCATATTCTTCTTTTGTCATGGACGATAAGTTATTGAGTTTTCGAGAGGAGATGACGGGGTTACCTTTATTTATGCTAGTTTTATCTACCCAGTAAGCGGGTTATGAGAGTAGGAAAGTAGGGAGATGGGAGACGCGGAAGATGCGGTGGCTCTTCCTTCAGTGAATCAAAGATGGAAATGAATTAAACTGGATCATTTGAGCTGGTGAGAGATTAGAGAAAGCGGGGTATAGAGAAATGCCCAGTGTTCAGATTCTCTTCACTCGGATAGTTTGAGAGAATGGTGAGGGGATTTTGGGGGGGGTTTCTTCTAGTTGTTGCGCGCAATCTATATATATATATATATATATCTATAGTTGTTTGGTTTTGTAGAAACAGGAAGAAATTCATCATATTATAACACAAGCTTTGCATGGTAACTACGCGCCTCTGATCTGAGCAAACTTCAAGTCGGGGGGTGGGTGGTAGGGGGTTGTGAAAACTCGATTTGTGAGTGAGTATGAAGATTTTTGAGTTGTTGTCGTAGATGGTCGGATATTGGTGGGAGATAGATGGATAGTGAGGAAGTGGGGTTGTAAGTGACAACAATTTTGTTGATATCTTCTTTTCTTTCTTTCTTTCCGTTTTTTTTTTGTGGTGGTGGTGGGTAGATCAACTCTTGCGTTTTTGAAATATGTAGTATCTTTGAGCTTGGTTTGTATTCTCTGATAGACGAGCGTAAAGATATTTGAGGTATCTGGAATGATGTTTAACGATCCAGAGTGTATGGCGGAAGAGGGGCTTTTATAATGGATATTTGGAGATCGTGGGAGGGTGGAGAATGGAGGAATAAGAATGGCGCGAAGCATGGGATCTCAGTTCCTGAGAACGATTTGAGTAAATCGTATCAGCTGTTTAGTATTGAGTTTTCTGTTGTTGGAAAAAATGGAGTGGTTATTTAAGACGCAAGTTGATTCCCTCTTTCTATCTGAGTAGATTTGCAACACGGAAAATACTATCGGAATATCGCATGATTGCGTGTGTTTCTTTCTTGTGGTTATTTGTACATAGCTCCTTTCACGTTTTAGAAGTGGATGATTGATAGTCTTTCTGGGAGGATTCCACTACTGAAAACGGGGTGGTTCTCCCAACTTAACGTCTTTTTTTGCTGTATTTGGAAATTGACAGCGAGTAGATATCAAATGACAGTGATGAATCTCTACATGCTGATGATAATTTGAAATTTCCGCTTGTCTATCTCTTCGCCTAAGCACATATTATGGTATACCCCATCACAGTTCTCACCATGCCTTCCCCTAATTCGGCAGTTCGATCGAGGCTTGAGTGACTTGCGTGTTTACATAATACTGGAGATGTCCATGGTTGAAGGTGTGTTTATACTTAGGTATTCCAAAACGGAATTGTGGCCACTGGATTGATGTATAATGGTAGTGAATCAATATGAGTGAAGAAATCCAAGTTGCTGTGAATAGAGTGAATAGGATGAACAAAGCGGGGTGACCGAAGAAGTATCGCTGGGTTATTCAGGTAGAATATCAGGGAGGGGTATTTAAAGCCCCTCCCTGTCTAATGCAAACTCAAGTAACTACCCGATCAAAGAATGGCCACTACCAAGAAACCCACCATCAAATCTCCCAACTATAAGCCCACCGCCAAACCTCGCAAATTCAAAATGAGCGCTGCTTCTCGAATAGTCATCTCTATCAGTGAGGAAACAATGGTCTCGCGTTTTTTTATTTGGTTAATCGGCAATATCGAGATCGGGAGACGGGCATTTCAGCTAAGAGTCTCAGTTGAAATGAGATGGATTGTTCATCATGACATCGTTAGTTGTTTTAAGATTTGCTTTCTTGACAAGTTAGCAAAGAGCCTGGTGGTGCAGTTCTCGGATTCTTTATATAGTAATGGAGTAATGGTGACACTCGAAGAAAGATCTTGGCTGGTGAATCAAGAGTTTCGTCTACGCAAATGGCTTAACAAGAGATCATCTTTGTTTGTAAAAATGGGACGGTGAATATATCCAACGACCATCGAATCCCAAGTGGAAAATAAGGACTCAATGGCTCTATAAACTCACGCACATTTGACCACCGATTCAAAACAATTGGTTACTTTAAGCAGTCGTCATATCCATCAATCTCCAAATTCGATCAAGTTATTCGGACAAATTTTCATGAATAGTTTGACTAAAATTAGCCGTATTCTCGAAACAAATTCATTAGAACAAACACGGATTAGTTTTCCGCAGTAGTCGTTTGAAGTACTCATCTGACACCACTTCATCCGCTATGCATTGGCGGAAAAGACACAGAAACGACAACAACAATTCCAATTCTCAATCTGATAACCTTGAGATTTTTCAAAGAGAAACTGAATCGGTCTGAGAGAAGATGCTAGGATCAAGAACCCTGGATTGTCTACTGGAGAAATAACAACAAGAGGTTGTGAGATAGAATAGAGCAATATCCGAAACGGATATTGTTTTGTTGTATAAGGAGGAAGGGTTTGTTGCTTAAAAGTTTATTTATAGAAGAGAAACTAAATCAATGTAAAAGAAAATACTAGAATCAAGAAACCTGGATTGTCTGTAGAAGTGGAGTAATAATTTGAGCCCGATAACGGATCATCTACTTTTAGAAAGAACATTTTGATAAATGATGAAGATCACAGTGAATCATATTCAGTTTAGATCTTCCCCGGAATATAAATACCCCGCTTTTTTGTCAAGAAGGTGCTCTGTTTTTGCACTTTTGTAACATGGCTTTGGGAATTCTTGATGATGGCATTTGATTAGTGTGTTTGTTCTTCAATGAATCATTTGTATCTGTTTTTTGCATGTTTTAAATATTCAGTAAAAGGTGCCGATATTGAATGATCTAAATCTATCAAATTCTGCTGAGCATTCATGATTGAGCATAGCATGGGTATAAGCATAGCTTGGTTGTTTATCTACGCTGTATCTCTCCTTGGTGCGAGTCGTTTCTTCTGGGACACTGCATGAATATTCCACTACCCTACAAAAGAATAAGAGAAGATGTGCTGTTCTAAACTCCCAGAGTAATCGACACTCCTGAAGTTCAATGAACTTAAATTGGATGTCCCAGAAACTCATATGTATGTAAGCAGCCAGATAAATCATGTGTCCCCATAGACTGAGCTACACCTCTTGCCAGGCTTTTAGAAAACACACCCTCGGCTCATTTATTAGCACAGATATAGGATACTTCCTGTGTACAAGTTGTCAATACTTTTGACAATTTTGCTTGTTTTATCTCTTTACAATCGACTTGTTCTCGCTTGCTGCACACAATCCCAAAATGAAGTAAAAGAGTTGTTGGAGCTTCGAGATTCTTTGGTGTCAAGCAAGGATCTAGTAGAGGGCTATATAAAGCAGCCAGTACCACGAAGTCGGGTAATGAAGAGCCGAGCAATCTTCGTCGAAAGAGAAGAGTATTGAAACGGCATATGCGCTACTCTCCACCCCCTGCCCGCCCTACCCTCTTTTTTTGTTTTTCCCTTCCTTCAATAATAGGTGGTCCAAACTCAGTCGCAAGAAGCTCTAATATGGCACATGGAAACGCCACAGCTTCAAAGATGGAATCTAATCGCGACCCTGTTGTTCACTTGAAGAAGGCGTAACTAACAGCTGATAAATCTGCCCTTTAGCGAATCAAATCATCGCAGTTATCCGAAAGCCATCCCATCTCGGTAAGCAGACACCTCATCCGCCGAGCAATTCATCTTGATGCTCACAAAACTTTGTTCCTTTCATTATTACTTCAATATCATAAAACAGAACACTTCCCCCCATTTAGACTCTTCTTCATTTCTCTCCAATGGTCTGCAGCATCACTTAATAGCTTCCAACCCCAATATCATGCCTTCAACTTCTCATAAATCCGTGCTTGTAACCGATGGCTGTGGCTGTCTCGGTCATCACATCGTCCGCCAGTTGATTGAAGATCCCGAATTCTCCGATATCAGTATTTAAAACCATCAAGTCAGCGGAGTTACTAGGTAGGTATTTAGAAAGCAATCCCACATCCCGTAAAGCGATTTCAAAAGAAATCCAACAAATCGACACTTGAAGAAAAAACCGACGACTCGTTAGGTACCTAATAACCATTACCCAGAAAATTGAGGGCGCGAGTGTCACGCTATATTTAACGATAATGCTGAGCTAGCTAGAATTGTGATCGTGTGAGAAACAGAGCGCCGTTTTAACAGGTCTGAATCTAGTGGCTAGAGCGGCACCAGTTAGTTGGTACTTTCAAGGCTGGAGAATTACCGTGAAGCAAGGCAACACCGTATTGTGTTAGTGGTAATTTCAGGCGCGAATCTCCTCTAGAATATCTATCAGTATGACTGATCCTGAGTAAAGCTTTACACTTCACTTGAAGACGCCTTGACATAGGTATCCATATGTCATGAGTATGCGATCTGCCAAAATTCCATGGGAATTCAATGGCCTGGGGACGAATGATGAAAAGTCACGAAAGAGCCCGTTCTGAGTAATCCAAACCATCATTGCGATTGTTCTGAAGTTCATTCATTATAGTATGCTAGCAAAATCCTATACTCCTTTCACAATTTCCTCAAATCTCAATCCCTAAAACCCAGATCCGCTTAGTCGTATATGTCGCAGAAAAAATCCCTTAACGAAATCCATCCCAGCCATGCCATGCTATGATCATCATCACCATAACTCCTTTATCATTCTCGTCTTATCTGTGATTGTCGTACCATCACCCGATAGTATCACCACAAGTTGCACAGCATCATCTACTTATGGAATGGCTTCGTACGAACCACTGCCAGAGTTGTGTGCTTGTCTGTTCGAGAACAACCAGTAGATGACCAAACCGAGAATAGGGAAGAGGAAGACGACCAAGCACCAGAGGAGTTTGTGGGAAGGAGGACGGTTGGATTTGAGGACCTCGACTGTAGATTCATGGTTAGATTTACTCAATTGCAGGATTGAAAGAAAAGGGGTGACATACTGAAGACGATGATATCGAGAATCAAGACGATAAATCCAATAACTCCACCACCGGAACCGTATTTCCATGCATTGCCATGTCCAGCAGTCTCAATAGGTTGAGCAAATGCCAAAGCGAAGAAGAAGAATTGAAGGAGAAGGGCGAGTGTATTCTGGAACATGGTTACTGATTTGATGTATGGTACTTTGTCGTGGGGTGTTGTATATTGTTTCGGTGTCGTGTGCTTTGTATTCTTCAAAATGTCTTTCAAAGTTGATGAACGTAGGGAGAATGTGGCTGCGGTGAGATTATAAGTTGTTGACCGGTTTGTTTGTAAGAAGGATCGCATGGAGGTAATGGTTCGAGAATAGCGCCATTTATTGACGTCATATTTGACTTTCAATTCGTTACAACCAAGGAAATCTGCTTATGCGGGGGAGGGTCAGCTGATGGAGGATTTTATTGGTGAGATCTCTTAGGTGGGACGCGCGTATGTCCAATTAAATCGTCGTATTGATTGCTTACCAAATAAAGTACGTCGTGAATCGTTAATGCGAAACACATCAGTTTTGACCGTAGGCTGTCACGGCTGTGTTATTGCAATTGTCCAATCATTGGATGCCTATTTAAAGCCATACAATTGCTTCTTTTCAATAAGCTAGCAACACAGGCGATCATTGTACGTGCATATTGGCTTTAGGCTCGTCTAAGACCTTTCCGCGTTCTGCCGAAGTTACGCTCATTCCAACAATACGAACTTGAGACCTTGGGAATGTGAAGTTTTTCCCACCGAAGCCCTTATTGCATTCGCCGTCCTTTCTACTTATTGCTGTCTCTGAATCTTCACATTGATTTCAATTGCGCTTAGCATCGATAGTTTTTGCCGAGAATTGCAGATCCTCTAACCTCTAAATGCTAGTAACCTCAGCCCTAGTGCTGAGATTCTTGCTCGCCTGACATGGATTTATCGTGCTAGGCCCAGAAGACACGAGTAGCGAAAGTGCCTACTCTCGGACTCCCTCCGATTGAAGACTTATCCTCGAATTCTCAAAGGAATGATGAAAGGACGATTGCCAGCATGCATTTATATGTAAAAAGAAATGTGAGGTTTCCCAAGCGTGATGAAAATAAGAGTGCCCACATTTTGTCAAACTAAGCTCCAGAATCTCGGGATCTGAGAATATATATGAGTCTTCTAGGCTTGACTTCTTACTACAATCTTGAAACTCTTACAATCTCTCAAAGCTCATGTGTTGTATCTTTCCTTCGAGATACCCTTCATATGCTGAAAGTAGATGCATATTTGAAATTTCAGATGTCAATTTATTGATAGGTCATTGTCAACCATCAGAATGAAGTCGTTACTCTCACAGGACATATCTAGTTGTTGAACATATCTTCCTTGTCATCTATTCCAACTAAAAAACAATGCGCTCTCTCTTATCTTCCAAAATCAGTGGTAAATGAATACAAAAACAAAAGACTGAACTATGGCACTTCCAGTTCCACAAGCCTTGCATCAGCAATGTAGTCTTCAATTATCCATACTGGAATTCGATATTAGAAGACAATGCTACTAAGTAGTGGGTAATGTTGTGTATTGGTCTAAAAGAGGTAATGGAGGGATGATCCCTTTTATACTCACTTATAATCTATATACAGCAAGTGCACCCCCTTCATCTCCATCAACTGCGAGCTTTTCTATCGGGAGTCCAGGGCCGGACCGTGAATGGTCTGTGCTACGGATCCGTTGCATGCTAGGTATGTAAAGCAAAAGAATCAATGAATAAAAATAGAATGTAACCTGGTCTTACATGCTCTTTTTCATATCCTCCTCTCTTGATTTTCAGGTGTGGACTATAAAAACACCTCGATCAATCAAAAGTACAGTGAGTACCTAGGCAATGAGAGTAGTGACCCCAGATGAGTACAAGGGCTAGGTGAAGTATCTCTCGTGAAAGTCATTTCTCTATATGCCGACAGACATACCTTGAGTAATGAGAAGATTGAGATGGGACCGGTTTCAATCATCATTTGTATTCATCGACTGTATTTGTTATTCGGCAATGAAACCCTCCAATGGCAATACGAACTCACATATTTGCAACTCAGAAGCTGTCATTCTTCCTTCATCCTCTGTTTAGTTGGTGGGAAAGGAATATAATCATGGGGCGACAAGCACGTTGCCCCACCCTTTGCTATACTCTGATATAACGTCTCTTCATCTTATTGATATTGAAGAAACAACAGATATAAAAGCTATACTTCAAAAAGAAGTCGCGTTCCTAAAACCATGCAGTGTTAATACTCCAATAGTTGTTAATGTTAATAGTGCAACACATGTAAATAGAGGCCACCTCATCCCCATCACCCACTCACAACACCACTCCTCTCCTCTCCTTTCCGCCAAATCACACCAACGGCAAATACCCCATACCCCAGATCCTCACCGCCTTCCCCAGATTCACTACTCACTCTCCAACCAATAGAATCACTTCTTTCAAATACCAAAAAGTTTTGTTGCACATCTCAAATTTTGGTAAAGTTTTCCAACTGACACCACGGTCAATTACCTTAAAATTTTGATATTTCCCATCGACTGGGAATAAGAGGGCTTTAAAAAGTTATTTCCGAGACGGTGTTTGGAAATGTTGGTTGTGTTGGTGCTGTTGTGTATCTCATCTGATGTTATCTTATTTGGCTTTTGTTGTGGTTCGGTTTTTTCTATTTTATTAAAATTCACTATGTGTTTTCTTGGGAGAGTTTTATTTGGTCACAAATCATTGTGTTATATATCTGGGTACCTCTCGAGTTTGCGGGATGTTTTTGGATATCTCGTACAGATTTGGAAGGTTGATATGTTCCATTGATTTGGAAGAAAAATTGTTCGAATTTCGTACAAGCTATGTGTTTTTGAGAATATGGTGGTATTTTGGGGGACTAATTTCGCATTCAGATTCACAATTTGCCTATGGAATCGACCGTACTCACCTTCATGCTTGGGTATGCAGGCGAAGGTGGTGTGATCTTGGATGAGTGTCGAATGGGTTGTGAATTTGAATATACTCGACTTTAGAGTCCATTTTCTCGTTTTTGGAAGACTTAATGTGACTGAAAGTTGCTATCTATCTATAAATCCCTGCGATAACTTCATCGTGTTTGCTTTTGTTGTCTAAATTCTATAGTCAAGTCCGTGTCTATCGTAAGACTGACGTTATGTCACTTATTCTCATGCGTGCTGTTCCTCCTCGCAAAAAATTGGAAACGATCAGATGATCTTCTACTGTTCTTTATCTTGGGAGATATGTCTTACTATCAAAGCGACTTGGATGTCATATCAGGGAGATACTGAATAGGCTACAGATTATTAAGGTCTCCTATGAGATAGGTAATGCAGCAACGACATCGAGTTTATGATTTCTCATCTAATTTCCCCGAGGATACAAAGCTGGAAACTGTCCAGTAAGCTGTGGAGAATGAGCTGATCTCGACATGATAGCATCTTCTCTTCCTTTGAAGAGCATAGGCGGAGAAAATATGGTGAATACAATAGCGCCCAAGTGGATGATTTACGATCTTCTCCAGTTTTCAGCATACCCTCTTCAAACACGAAACATCAAAGATGAATACCTCAGCACGAAGTTCCATTTCTTCGTAGCAGCAAATTTTGACCAGGAAGACGATGAAAATGAGAAGATTGACATACATTGTAGTTTCATTGAGGAAAAGACAGCAACAAATAGAAGCGGAAGCTTTCTTGCAGGTGACTTATTTCTAATCTTTGCTGTTGCTGTTGTCGAAAATACGTATCTTTCTGTCATTTTTCTAATTTTCTTGAGATAATTGAGTGAGATGAGATTCTTCAAGCAACGTCTATGTGAGGAATATTGTGCAAATATCTCACAATAAAAGGTTGAGGGTTCAAGGCCAGCATAATCACTCACGCATCTCTCTGGCGCCCAATGACATCGAGTTCTCGCTGAACGAGAAATCGATTAACTCTATGTCAAATGTTTCAGCTCCCACGCCTTAAATAGTCATGTATACGTATATTTGTGTGCCTAGGCTATTTCGAGCTTGTCAAAACATTACTAACAAGTCACCGGGCGCGCACCAAAAATATATCTCTATAAGAACCTTGGAACTCCACTCTCCTAATCCTCTGCGCAACCTGTCAGCACAATGACGCACCACGCAGAAGGTTAAGCAGAGGAATAAATACATATAAGTCCATGTTCGCGGAGATAATGGAAGACGGTAGCGTCTCCAAAGGAGACAGACGCAGATTGTGCGATGTGTAATTAGACCAAACTATCAGAGAGCATCTCTACCTGAGCAGCCTGATGATACCCTGATATTATGCTAGATCTGATGTCTGGATTTTCTCCGTTGTCAATTCAGAACTTGCTGTTATTTTCTTACACTTTTGACCCATTGAGATGATTATCATCGGATGGTTTCTTGTTTTATATCTCTCACCTTCAAGACGGTGAGTGATGTATGTCAGTTCTTGCGATTGCGATTCCACCGATTCCGAGCCTTCTGCTTTTTTTTTTGCTGAATAAAGAGGCGCCATTTCCGCTTCGACCATCGTTCTCTCTCTTCTGGAATCCTTGACTACCTACCGCTCATGGTCGAGCGCTTGTGCGTTTTTAAGTACCTTTTCTGGTTGAGTGAATGTGAATAGATGGGCATGTGGGAAGGAACAAAGCTGATGAGAATCATGGTGAATAATATACATTCTATCTCTTTTCAGATGGAGTAATCAGTATTACTTACGGTACGTATATATGTACACGTACACCACCAGGCATTATATTTCAACCATCAAAGCAGGAGAGATACTTACGTGCCATGTGTAATGCCTAGGTACCCTTCCGCACCTTCCCAGAAGTCCAGTTTACGGCGTTTCATTTACAGATCGATTGCATTTTGTATAATTACAATAACGGATGAACACATAATGACTGACATCCAAATATTGTGATATATGATCCAATCTCTTAATCTTGTTATCATTTCTACAATCATTTTCATCTTTCTTATAAAATCCTTAAGAAATGAAAATCATGGGATGAGATCATCTCGAAACTATAAAAAGACAGGTTTGACGTGTCTAGATAATCGCTGTAGAAAAAAATACAAAGACATAAGCTCTCTCAATCCTCCGTTGATCGATTCGAGCACAAGACCAGGATCATGAAGGCATCTAAGTAGCAGCAGTACCAATTTGGGAGATGTTTGGACGCTTTTGCAATATTGCCCCTTTGCACGTTGAAGGGAGTGGTGATATTTATAGATGTTGATGGAGATAGAGGTTTGAAGAGTTGAACATGTGGACTTCCAAGGTTGTCGTAAGTAAAACAATGAATACCAAGGAGGGGTATCTTGAAGGCTGAAAGGGGTAGTTGGTTGATGGGCATGTGTAAGTGTGTTATTGAAGAGGGGTTATTCACTTCAATAAGTTTCTTGTTTCCCTCTTTCGGATGGTTTTCCTGTCAGAGAAATGTTCGCTTTTCCCTTCAATATTCCACTCCGTTAATATATGTATATGTATATGCAGTTGACCCAGCTTCAAACTATGGCTTTTGAAAAATTGAAATCCAAGTCCTTAGAGGTATTCGTGTCTCGGTGGAAGAAGAACATCACAAATGCTGCGGTAAGTCAGGCTATGGATTTTAAACTTATCTTAATCTCAAGCTGGGGTTTTCAGAATTACGTGTCAAAGACATTAGAAGCGCTATATTTGGCTGATAATTTTATAGCTTTAGAGATATTCATATCATTGACGATGTTAGAAAGACATCCTATGATAAAATCAGGATACAGCTTTTTGTTATCGTTAAATTAATATCTTTCGCTGTCTATTTCACTAAGAAATTAGTCGATCATGAGACGGTAGTCTTTCTAAGAAGTTTTCCCCCCTGAGAATACCCGCTCGGAACAGCAGAACTTGTAGCAAGTTTCCTTTCCCATTGCAAAGAAAACCAGTCAGACATGCAGACGCACCCTTTGAAACATTGGTATCCGCCATCACCTTGTGGTATAACTCAGAAAGTTTTATCTGTTCAATCCTATTTAAGCCAGACATTTTCGAATTTTCCTGGTAAGGTAGCTGGGGTGTTCAATTTGAGTGAATAATAGATTATACGTGTATACTTCGTAGATGCGGGGCTGGCTCATATCTGCTTTAGCTGGGTACCTACCTAGGTAGATACCTAGGTAGGTGATTGCGCCTATGGTAACATATAATTCACTAACAATGATTATCTAAATCCGGAAGGATATCTATATCTTGGTTGTAAAGCTTCTTACACAATCTATATCCAAGAAATGTTCGACAAAACAGCCAACACATGGTTCTCTTGCTGCCTCCAGCCAGCACCATATTCACTATCTATTCCCTGGCCTTAAATTTCCTGGAAAATCCTTGCATAAGGATTCCGATCATAGATTCACAGGTATGATACTCTTCGTTGTTGCCTTTATCTAATTCTTGCTGTTATCATTCTTACAAAAAGATCAGACTATAGCACTTTCACTCATGAGAAACGCCGGATAAAAAATTGCATAGAGTGCTGGAATACTGCAGTGGCAGATATCCCATATTTCTCAAAGTCCTATCTAGTACAAGACTACCGGACCTAATTGAAGCACGGTCTAGCTTTACGTTTGAGAAGGAATGAAAAAAATACTTGACAGGGAATGATAAGGTATAAGAAAATAAGTTGGGAATCCTGTGATTTGCCGGTTGATCCTATCGGACTCGCGTGGTTTAGAGCGCTAGGCACTGCCAGATTACTTCCCTTAAATCTCTAGCTCGCACAGGTTCGTGCACAGCAAGGCTGGTCTTGAAAGGGATATTAGGAGATGGGTGAATGATGTTCTTCAAAGATATGTGAATAACATGTGTTATCTCAAGAATGTGTGAGTACAGTGAATAAACCAGCAAGATCATAATTGCAGCTAACAGGTCCCACTACTTTGGAAGTTGAGCGAAATGATCGAGATATGTTGATGAAATTTTTCAAAAATCATCAAACCCGTGATTTACCCATTCACATATCATCCGTATGCTAATGTAGACTCACTTCTTAGATTCACATCTTATTAACCGCTTATTGACCCTCACCCACAAATATCCTGATCACGACTTCCCCCCATTCCTCGGTCTCTCATAAAAGTAAAACTCAATCTTAGGCCTTTCCTGCCTCTCCCTCCACTTCTCCGGCACATCAACTTCAATATACCTATCCGGCACTGCTTTAAACCCATGACTTTCATATAAGTGTTTTGCAATGACTGTCCCCTCGATATACGCTGGTAGACCGAGGGAATCGGCTATGGTGGTACCATATTGCATTAGAAGCGTACCGGCACCGAGACGCTGATAAGAGGGGTGCGTGGTTAAGATGTCGAGGACTGTGAGATATTAGGATTGCGCATTATGGATTGTGGGGATGATCTGAAATTGAGATGAAGACAGGAGGAGAAAAAGAAGACAAAACTTACTGACGCAAGGTTCGCCTCTCGTTCGACTAATTTGATGTTGATGAATCCAATTTATTAGGTACTCAGCCCATTCGTTTGAGTCTTGATCAGCGTGCCAGTCAACAGAAATTCGTTCTTTCTTCTGCTCTTCGCTCAATGGTTCTGTATTTATGAGCCATTTGGCTGCACTTATGAGGGTCCCTTGATTAATTATTAATATCCATCTTTCAATTTCTGTCCTTGACCTCCTGAACTACACCCCAACTTAAAAGCACAGCAGAGAAGTGAAGTGAAAGCAAAACATACCATCCCCATCAACAACCTTCACATACTTCGCTCTCTCATCTCCGACCCAATTATCAACCAATCTTTTGACTGCCTTTTCCCTTTCTTCCGTTTCAGGAAATAAGACAAAAAAGAATGGTTCATGAGGGTTACTGAAAGCGGCAATTTGTTGAGTGAGGATAGCTGGACCATCCGTCAGTGGATCACAGGGAAGAAGGCGAAGATTGGATTTCGAAGCTGTAATAGGAACAGGATGAGGGATGCTGGTGGAGGGGTGAAGAGTTGAGTAGGATGCCATTTCGGTGGTTATGGCGGGGATGTTGGGGGTGAGTATGAACCGAAAATGAACAGATTATGCTGATATACCCGATTTCATAACGTGTGTCCAAAACGTGACTTTTTTTGATCTAATCAACTTTTTACTAAATCCTATATTAAAATAATTCAATTGCTTTTAATTCAATGAATATAACTTTAAATTCAAAATACTTTGTATCATAATATAGATCTCAATTGATAGAATCTATAAATAAAATTTGAATAGAATTAATTGAAAATTCATTGAATTGAAAGTAGTTATATAAAAGTTCGATTTCGAAAGTTTAAAAACCTGAAAACTACTTCAAAAATCATAATTTCATTCAATCACTTCCAATTCAATGAATTTTTGATTAATTCAATTCAAATTTTATTTATAGATTCTATCAATTGAGATTTATATTATAATACAAAGTATTTTGAATTTGGAGTTATATTCATTGAATTGAATTTTCCAATTTCAAAAGTTGGATTAGATGATATTGAAAAAGGTGCTTTTTCTTTTGGACACACGTTATGAAATCGGGTGTAGCGATGATGCAGTAAAGGAAGTGTACGATCACCCTTCCAGCAGATCGATTAATTTGCAACGTTAATCTTACGGAAGGAACTGCAGATTCGGCAATTGTAGTCAGGCATGAAATGAACTGCCAATAAAGGCATGTCAGAGTACAATTTCGAAATATGCATACACACAGACTCAGACGCCACCCGTTCGTAGTCCGCAAATCGGCTTATGGAATACCACTGTGATTGATTCCGTGGCTCTTACAGGTTAGGTTTAGCTTTCACACCGGGGAAAGAATCTGAAAGTCCTGAACCCCTCCCCTGTGTGAGTTTGACAAATTGTTGGAAGATATGCTTAAATCCGTTGATGCACACGGAGCGACAAAGCAGCGAGGACACCAAGACAGAAAAGAAGCAGGCAAAAATTGAACAAGCATAATTCTAAGCGGAAGGATCAACAAGCCTGTTGGTACGGATAAGCCGTTGAACTAGGACCAGGCCAAGGAGTTCGTGACCCCTGTGAATTTGCTTATGAAAGAGGGGGAAGTAAATTAATGTGGGCCGTGTACGGACATACAATAGTTCCAGGACGACTATCTATTAAACGCGTGGCTGCAAATACGATGTGATATTTGCTGATTGGATTTTCTGAACTTCCCAGCACAACAGTTTATCCAGGCCCCAGAAAGCTCTGATCATACGAAGGATTCTCTTTCATCAGATTTGCCGGCTTTAGAAGAGATAATTAGATTGGTCCCGACAGTTTGGAACCCAATCGGCAGATCGCGATAATACAAATATTGGGTCAAATGGGGCTTTAATTCCATAAACGGTAATGGTAGACCCTTTTTGTGTTCTTGGTCCGATGTTCTGCGATGGATATATGGAATTCGTTCGAGGATTCGAATGATGTGGCGTGCTGTGAGCTGGCTTGCATGAACATTGCACAAACGACGAAAAATGTGAATTATGATTGATAAAAAATGGTATTTTGCGAGTTCGCCGAACTCTTCCATTGTCTAATGAGAATTACAAGATCTATAATCTAATGCAAGTAGCCAAGAAATGATAGGTGATTCTGTCAAATGAAAACAATGTGATGTACTATATACTGACATCCGCCATGAAGAGATCACTGCCGTCTTCTGATAGGATCAACAATTGGCCACTTGTAAGCATGCTTACCCCAAATCATGTAAAAAACCACGCTATAAAGGATAGCAGCAACAAAAATAACGCAAGACCAATTCATGGTAACCGGAGTAACGACTTGGGTATTAGGCCAGAAGCTGAAAAACATGGTGATAATCGAATAAATCAGCCCAGCGATGTTGGCAACTGGACCAAGAATTGGTCCCAGTTTCCATGGTCCCCAATGTATCTTGTCTTTGATTGGGTCTTTTCGAAGGCGTTTCTTGAGAATCAAGATGACTGTAAAATCAGATTGTTAACATTGTCTATCAAGAGTAGATTTTGGAGCAATGTGAGGAAAATGAGGAGCTGATGTTGTATTAAAAAACAAAACAGGGTTTCCAATAGCCTGGACTACAGGTCCACAATGGAAAGCTCCGAATCCCTGTACCTGATCAGAGCATTCAGATGCTTTGAACCGTTGAATTCAATTAGAATTTCCAAATAGTCTGAATCAGTGATATCATTTCAAATATTGAACGAAACTACTTTTGAACTTTGATATATTCCATCCAGCCTGTAAGTCTGAGCCAATAAAGCATCGAAGCAGAGATAATATATGGATAAAACGGAATAGTGGAGGGTCAATCGGAGATGGAAGTAAATGTAGTCGAAGCAAAAGAATTATTGGACGATTCACTCACTTGGGATCATATAGCTGGTAAAAAATGCAGCCACGTTAACAGAGACAATTGAGTTGAATGCTGCAGTACTGCCAATATTGATAAGTGCCAACAGGAGTGAAATCACTGCACTGACAAGAATAGAATATATAGGTAATGCTGTTGGTTCATGAACCTGTAGTCAGAAAGTTAGGTAAAAGTGATAAGATTATTTGAATACTTGTGCTTACGCGAGATATATACGCGCTACCTGGCACTCCATTGTCTCTTGCAAAAGACCATAATAAACGGGAAGCAGTCGCCATGATACCAATTGCCGCGGCGAGAAGAATGAATAAGATAATCAATGTCATACCAGTGGCAGCGGCGTTACTATTAGTAGCTCCCCTGAATATTTCGATGAATGGAAAGCCAGTAGCGGAGGTCAGAGCAGCATCGATATCTCCTAGACAGAAGAGAAGAGCTATAAGTAGTGCGAAACCCAGAACGCCATTCAAGACAATGCTACTGATCATCGCCCAGGGTATAACTGTAGAGGCATTGTGGACTTCCTCACTCATATGGCAAGCAGAATCGGCTCCTGAGACAATATTAGAACTATCTTAACAGCGAATGTGGGGGAGATAAACGAAGTTGATCTTACCGAGGAACGAGAAAACGGAAGTAATCAAACCAATGAAGAAAGACGTTCCATTTGACGACCAGCCCCCACCATTGATAAATGTAGCAAAAACGTCGCTTGGTTTTCCATGGGGTGCAAGGTAGACTAGAGGAATAAGGATACCGAAAAATCCAAGAATATGGATGCAAAGAACAAATCCTTCAATCTTTGGCAACCAACGAGCCAAATTCGTATTGACGAACAGAACGAAAGCTAGAACAGCATAGAATATCAGAGTCGCTTGCCATCTTTCAGGAACGTAAGTTGGATGGTTCAATATCACTAAAGCCTGGATTAATGTTGCGCAGAGGAAAGCCATACTTGCTTGACCTGCTTGCCAGCCAATAACTGTAAGCCAGCCTGTCATGTATGAGAGGAATTTCGCGTGGGATTTGGGTGCAAGAATCGAAACCCAGTGATATTGGCCGCCACTCAATGGCATCCTGAGTCCGCTCGTCAGATTTAAAAACTCGCGATGGAAGGCTATACGCACATCGAGGACATCTCTGCCAAACTTGCGACGGTACATAATGTACCAAAGAAGCAAAAGATATAACCGTACTGGGTATGTAACGTTAGTATATGCTACCAGAATTTGAGTCGAGGCGAGACTCATATAGAAACTTACAACTAAGCCTGCCGGTCCTCCATTTTGAAACCCGTACAGGAAGACGGCAAACATTCCTTCCCATGTTGAAAGCAGACTACAGACAAACCCCGCGATCGACAAAAAGCCAAAGTTGCGCTACAATATTTCAGCTTTTGATGATGGTATTTTTCTTTAGCACTCACCTTCAACTCTTGACGTTTTCCAAAATACGCCATTTCTTGATCATCTCTGCTGGCGTTGCCTTTCGACCGTGCATGAGGGATTTCATCAGAAGATGTTGACCTAGCCATCACACCCAATTCCACATGTTTGTCTTCCATGGTTAAGATCGAAGAGTTTTATCAGGAGAATACCAATCGCCGAGCGAGCTCGTGAACGACAAACAATAGTAATGGAAATGAAGAGAAATAAAGCAAAAGAAAATTATGACGGGGATTGAGATTTATCTGCCCTTCTTCAAGATACACTGCAGTCTGCATAATAGAACCCTTGCATGGATCACCGAGTGGAAGATAGGAGAAAAGAAATCCTTGACACCACCCACAGGAAAAACTGTCTCATTGCAACCATTTTGGTAAATACCCGATGCATCAAATGGTAGCGAGGTGGTCTGTATATTATTATGATACGTTCAAAGGTGCAAGGGATATACGAATATGCAGTTTGATCATACTCCGCTCCAGCTTGGAAGGAAACAAATTGTCGACTCTGGAGCAATGTCAGCTTTCTTTCTCGGTTTTCTACTAGGTCCACGAGTTATGATGGTAACGGGCTGAGCGGGGAAGCCTTTCCTATAAAAGTTAGCGTTTCACGTGGGTTCGGTAAATGCTAGTTCATGCGGAGGGTTAATTTGATAGACGCCTCATCGCCGCCGTAATACACACATTCAACCGTCCAACATTTATTACTATTCACCTTATTGTAACGACGGGCATAAAACCATTTAGCCGACCTTTTAAATGTGGTACCGGAATGTTCTTGAACTTGGCACAAAGCTAAATATTTACATCCACTATGGTCACTCGGATTAACAAGCTGGTGAAGCATCTCTCAAATCTCAGTACAAAACTCCCGGCTGTCTGGAAATTATCTTGTCTCCTTATGGGCTTGTCCGATCGTAAAGTGGGCAAGCATTTGTCAGTATTCAATATTCTAGGTACAGGACCATGCTCCGTATCTTTAATTGATTATCACATGACAGATCCTGTGTAGCAGAGTCTTACGACAAATTAGGTCCAGCATCTAGACTTACTATTACCCGATATTGTGATTTATATCTCATTAATATCAGGTTGACAATCTTGTGTAACCTTGTCAGCGCGTATGGCGCTGCTGAGGACCCTGACTCGTTTCATCCAAGCTAATGATTAACATAAAAGAGAAGTTTGTTTGGATCCCAACTCTGTTGTGCATGATCGCCATACCGTGGCACAGCTTGAATAAAATGTGGTGTTGATGTCTGGGATCAAGGAGCGAGCAAGTGTTCATGGGGATCTTATTGCAGTTGCGACGCCTCAGAATCTCTCAAAACTCGGACTCTACGGAGCTCCGAATAGCTATTGCCAAATTTCCGAATGGAATTGAAGTGAAAGATTTGATCCAGTGATTGAAGTCTTGTTTATTATCGTTTCTATCAACATATTCATCACATATGTCACTGCTATGGGCATAATTCTACTTTGAACAGTTGGAAGTGACCAGGAGTAAGTACCAAAAACTCGGAACCATAGAATTGCTTTTTTCTAAATGCCATCCACATGTACCACGAAGCTGTGCTCCCTTGCATTGTTCCAGCAGAGTTCTTTTTTTCAACTCCGTGACTCAAAAAGTTACAAGTTCTTTTGCGATCGACAAATATATGCAAGTGTTGACATTGGAGAGATGTATATCTCATTTCATCGCCATTCATCCAAATTCTTTACCATCTCTGTATTGTTCTTACAATGACATCGATACCCATATTATCACGACAAATCATCATATCCAGCCATAATGAAGGCCCTGCGGTTAATCTTGTATCATGGATAGGGTTGAGTACAATGATACTGAGTGTTGGAGCGAGGCTTGGGAGTAAATTTATGGTTGTGAGGCGATGGAGTACAGACGATAGTTTGATCATAGTTGCGATGGTTAGTATATTATAGCACGTCAAATCCTGAGAGCAATACTAATAGTCTAGTTCTTTGGGATATGTCATAGTATTTTTCTTTCAATGATGGTTAATAATGGACTTGGTCGGGATCAAGATACTCTCAACAGGAAGGAGCTGGAAAACTACCAAAAAGTTCGTCCCCTTTAGGATGTTCGTTGGAAATTTTGTTCTTTACTCAAAGATTTCTGAATCTTTTCTGACTTCGAGACAGTATGCTTACGCATCCCAATTGGTTTATATTCCGACTCTCTGCTTTGCGAAACTAAGTACATTGTTCTATTTACGAGCCTTAACGCCGGACTCCAATTACGCAATATTCAATCGAATTACCGAGATATGTGTGATATTATGGGCTTTAAGCGCCGAGATTTCTATCGTGTTCCAGTGCGACATGCCGAACCCTTGGGCCATTCTTTCTACAGGCAAATGTTTCAATATCGTAAGCTGAGTCGCTGTGTCTACCTTGGCGCAAATAGCTAACATCAGCAGGGCGCATTCTGGAAAGCTATTGGGGCCTTTGACATAGCAACTGATTGTGACATCATATTGTTGCCGATATTTCTCGTTTGGGGACTTCAGATGCCGTTGAGGCGCAAAGCCCTTGTTTTCATAGCATTTGGGACTAGAATATTGTAAGTGGAAATTTGGTATCCCCATTAGAGGTAGATAATCTAATGATCTGGCAGCATTTTACCCTTATCAATAGTGCGACTCGTCGTGATTTCTTCTTCGGGATCTCCCACGCTTCCAAATCAAACACTAATTTCATATCACAATTACCTCTGGACCTCTGTCCACCTAAACTCTGCCATTTTCTTCGCATGCTTGTCATTCCTCAAACCATTTATGGAATCAATGTCATCCGGTGGTCTTGCCGCATCCGTCAATCCAATGGATTCATCCTACAGCAACAAGCAATCCCCCTCCAATTCAAAGTTAAGCAACTTCATCTCTTCTCAATCTGGTTGGAAAGCCTCCAAGAAGAATTCTTCCAGGCCACCACAAGAGCTTCGCACTATATCAACGTTTCAAGACTACGATGAAGATGACGAAATCTTGACTCCTACCACCACATCTCCAAATTCTAATCTCAAAAGATCGTCACCTATGTTTAATATTCGATTCAATAATACAGATGCGAATGGGAAGCTGAGTTGCGAAGGAGAGGAACTTGGCACGTTGAGACCTGACGGAGCGATGACCTTTGCGCATATTAGACGCTCGACACCAGATGATGCCGCGGAAAGGAGTACGGTTGGTAGTGATAAGATGATTATTAGACGTACTACTGAATGGGACGTGCGAGAAGACTTCGAGAGCATTAGGGGAAGAAGGACTCATTCTGGAGATCGAGGCGTTGATGAAGAGGACTATGAGATACACAAGGCTAGTATGGAGAGGGGAGATGATAAAAATTGGGGTGAGAGAGGTACACATTTTGCTGGGTAGATGGTGGTGTCAAAGATCTGAAACGGAGATGAAAATTCATACCTAATGGAACATGGACGACGGTTTGCAAAGGCTAAACACAGGATATACCACAAGGTCAGGGAAGGCGAATTAACGGTTGGTGTTCATGGATATCGGGTGAAAGGATTAATTGGGCCTACTGGATGGGATATAACTCACTACTTGCACAGTTTCATTTGTTTTGTGTCAAAAATAATAGCATAATCAATCATTCATTAGACAAAACTTCTTCACGGTACCTACCTAGGCAGAGACAGTACCCCGTTCGGAACTTCAGTGTTTGATTGGCGATACTGCACCTACAAACACCATGCCCCGCCAAGAAACAAACGCACTCCTTCAAGATCTTAATTCACTGAAGTTTTGCATTCAAAAACCCATCAAATAACAATAACAAATCTGTCCCTTCATAAAATCCTAACAATTGCGTCCCTGCTGACTGTACATAATCCTTCATCCCAATCCCCCACTCCATAAGCACCAGCCTCATTTCACTCGCCTGCCTACACTGCAACACCCAGCACTCACCTCGGTATCAATATAAAAGAATCCATCTCAGAACCAAACCCCATAATACCATTTCCGCAAACAAATTATTGATCTCAAAGCGCAGTCAAAAGAGCGATAAACCTCTCCTTCTGCAATTTATCCAGTTCTCACCACTCCCCACAGCTGCGCCATCCACCACCCAGCATGCCAACCTACCTTCTCGAGATAGATCTTTCCACCAAAGACACCTTCGAACACTTTACCCAACTTATCAAAACCCTCTCCAATACTCCACCTGATTCCGATACTCATTCCGAATTATCAGAAGCTGATTCCGTAGGCCTTACGCATGATCCCGTAGAAAGCGGAATTCTCGTCATTCGTGAGTAATCCTCTTCTTACATTTTCCACTGATTTTCCACTCTACATCATTTTCTGCATCAACTCGAGAGAAAAATTTCGTAATGAAAGAATAACATACTCAAATGATCATGCAATGATACTAACAACCCCAGATTCCCACACCCTAGCAACACTCACCAAGATCCTAGAACCCCATCTTCCTTACTTTCCCATCACGCCCAAAATTACTCAGACGTCAGAGAAGGGAGTCTACGATCCTGCTGGATATCCTGTACAGCAACTTTTGATTTATGTACCGTTGGCTTCTGGGTCCGATGGTGATGCTAGTGCTAATATCGATGGGAATGGAGATGGTGGGGAAACAAAAATCCAGAAATTGAAGACATTATTTGATGTAAATTCAATACAACTTGAGCGGGAGGGGAAAGTAAGTGGGATGCGACAGGGTGAAATTATTATGCCCTCTTCATCTCCAGTATTCTCTTCAGAAATGCAGTATGAGGGTCGAAAATGTAGGGTCTGGAGTGTTTGGCTTACGTGGGTGTTGGCGAAGGAAAGGTATCATGAAGGTCGTGATGATGGAAAAGAGGGGAAGGTTGGGGAGGAGAAAGAAAGTCTTGCGGGGCAGATTGATTGGAAGAAGATGGGGGTGCTTGGATGGGAGGAAAGAAATTGGATGTTTAGCAGTTTGGAGGAGTTTCTGGCCAAAGATCGGAGTAGTTGTGGTGTCATGTGAGGAGGTGAGATATTTGTAATAAATGAGGAAGGCATGGAGCGGGAAAAAGAATCTGCTATTAGTTGTGGTTTTCGTTTTCTCATGCAAGATCATTCCAAAATTTCACGCAAGTTTCAAATGGAGTGAGCAACATTGTGAAGAAGCTTTGCAATATTTGGCACACGTCGAATACATTTTAATTACTCATAACCACAGCATTAAAGCACTATTTATATTTTCAAGATACAAAAGCAATGGTGTGTAATACTAATACATACCAAATTCTAGACTCACTCACCATTCCGATGAAAAGTAACCCTTGAAGCACTCGACATTTTAAAATTCATCCTCCGAATCGGTAAACACACCTCCACTACTAGTCTCCTCATCTTCATACTGATCATCATCCTCAGAACCACTGTCATCGCCCACTGCTACTCCATTCTCATCGGCATTCATGTCTGCCCAGTCATCGTTAAGGTCATCGTCATAAGCAGTGCTCGCTACAGCCCCCTTTGAACTGGACATCCCTCTACGATTGGGCTGGGTGAGCTTTGCAGTGGCGTTCAGTTCGTTTTTGCTGAAAAATGGATGAGTTTCGGTAAGGACCTTGCCTTGACAAACATATCCCATGGGTGCATGAGAGAAGTCTTGGCCTTTGCGTCTAACACTCAACCATTCTTGCAGGAATGTTAGAGGTCTGGACGTAAAACCGACGGAGGTCTGATCTTTTCCATTGCCGTTTTCCGTGGCTTTCCCATCGATAACATGGCCATCTTCTTCCAAGCAGTCTTCTTGTAACTCTTCCATAGTCTTCTGTATTCCAAATCCCAAGAATCCACGAAGATACTCATATTGAGAGTACTCAAAGTAAAGAGCTCCCGAGAAGATACCTAACTGTACTAATAACCACGATGGTGCAATCCAGTCCTTTGAAAGCGCGGGTATAGCATAATATCGGAGATCATTGAAGTTAATAAGCATCTTGCGGGTCGTAGGAGCTGCATATGTCAAGAGAAAACATACAGGAGCTAAACAGTCACGAAGAATTGGAATGAGGAGCTCCGTTTCTTCAGGTATCACGACTAACGCGGTTTCGGTAATAGGACTCCACAGAAGCCAACTCACTTGACGCTAAACAATAAATGTTAGCAAAAGTTTACATACAAAACATCATTTGAACCCAAATGAATCTTGGAAGTGTAACAATCTCTCATGTCCGTTGAAACCCTCAAAGTCATCCAAGGTCCAAAACGGATTATGTAGAAGGAAACACTCAAAGTCATCCAAGGTCCAAAACGGATTATGTAGAAGGAAACATTCTCCAAGAAGACTGTTAAGGCATAGAGCCAACTTACCAGAAAATTATCGTGTGGTTGAATCACTTTAACAGTACGCATGAATTCTCTAGACACAAATAGTCGAGAATTGAGAGCTTTAGAGTTGATTCCAAACTTCCTACCAATGTCGGTTTTTCTCAAAGCTACAAAGGCATGTTCACAACACTGTAGGGTTGGTTAGTCATTATTGCTTATCAAAGAAGTTATTAGGGGGATAATGAGAAAACCATAGATTAGTGACGTATCAAAATGGTCCATTGAATGGAATGGAAAAGCGGAAATTTGACATCAGGGAACGGAAGTAGGTAGTAGAGGAAAGTTAATCGGCGGGCTGATTGAACTTACTGCAGAGCCTGCTGGAATTCGGCCAGTTCTGACAAAGGTTACAATATCCTTGTCCAGCCCAGGGAATGACCAAGCGGTATAATGAATAGGTCTTTGAACCTCGCGCACAGTTTCGACTTCGTAGGCAACTTCTCTCTCTTGTTCAACTTCTTGTAAAGCAGTATGATGAACAGCATCGCCAGTATCTCGAAAGCTTTTGCGCATTGCATTGAGCTCTTTGACAAAACTGGCTGTTTGGGAGGCCAATTCGCCAGTACCAATTACAGTCTTGCTTTTGGTTTTAATTCCGTAAAGTTGATGTAAAGAAAGCTGCTCCTTTTGCCTGAGGGTATCTAGATACTGCTCTCGATGGTCCGCGTTGGTGAGGAAATCTACATTATCAGCAGCAGCCTGAACTCTACGGCAATAATCAATGCCCTGAGAATAATAAAGTGGCTGCATAAGCTCTATACCTATACACGTCTGCTCCAGAAGCCAACAGATGACATCGTACGAGTCCAGGTTATTACCATGGGTCTTTTTAACACAGTCCAATATGCTCTGATTGACCTCAGGTGGTGCGAAGAATATAACAGATTGAGTAGTCGCGAGTTGCCTCAGTCTCATTGCTGCCTGCACAGTATGATCTTTGCTTTGTCCAAGACCTATTCAAAATTAGTATCAGCGTCGTTGTTTTCGAAAATTATGAACTCACTTAAAGTTAGCGCTCCACAAGCATTAGCAGGCATTTTCAGATCAATTCCACGACAATGGGCTTCATCAAGATAAACAACAACGTCTCTTAAGTCATCGGAATATGGTGAAGCAGATAACGGCACTGGTCTGTACTTCTTATGGACCACCATTGGCTTTCCTGCTTCATCAAAGTAAACGGCGGCTTGTGCTTGTGTGTCGATCTCAAGCCATGTTCTTGCAAGCGACTCATTGCTCAACTCGAGAATCTGGGCTCCAGCATCGATGAGCACTCGGATGCCCAATTTCGAGATCTTGCGCAACAAGTCAATCTCAGAGAGATGCCGGCCTCGTTCGTCAGCTGCAACTACATATCGCCGGTTTCTGGGCTGAAGCAAGTAAGTGAGAACCTCAGAGTTGGTATGGGCAAGTCTCTCCAAGTCTTGCTGCTTGAGAGTGAGTGGCAGTAAGTTTCTATTATCATTGGTGCCGCTAAAGCCTGTCGTAATGGAATTTGGATTGTCCGCTGATGATAAAGGGATCTCCCAGCCGCTGGCCTGTAGTTTGAGGCTGAAGGATTTGGCGTGTGCCGGAAATACAAAATTGTTACAGTAGTAGTCGATGATTACTGGAGATAGATTGAAATGCGTCCATAACTCAAGCATTTGTTGTTCATCTTCAAGATTAATACTATTCCAATCCCGTAACGTATCAGGCAATACAGAACAGCTCATAGACCATTGATCATATATAGTGGCCGGATCATCTGATTTGAGAACATGCTCGAGGGCTTGGTGCAATTGCTTGTTATTAAGTCCATCATAATAAAATGCTAAACAAGTAAGAAGTATTGCGACGTCTGGGTGGCCCCATTCCGCTTGATCCGAAGGTACACCTTTGCCATGGAATGGAACCGCAATAGGGTCTCTATCGGGGTGAAGACCATATTGTACGTGCCACCTCTTTTTTAGCGCCAACAACAATATTCGGTGTACCAACAGACCGCGAACATTTAAGAGATTGCGTTTCATTGCGGGGTTATCTGGAAATATACCTTTCACAACCTTAGATATACTTGTGGTAACCTTGGGTTTTGTTATAAAATCCCTAATGGCTATACGATCCAATTTGGAGCAACGGGACACATCCAGAATTGAAGTTCTCCCAGTACATATATCAGCAACAAGTCGATTCAGCAGCTCCTCCTCAACATCTTTCCGGAGGAAAAATGGCATAGGGTAGCCCCCACAATCTCTTCGAACAACTTCGATACTATGAGGATAAGCTTTCTC